GGTTTTGGGGCCAAGAATACCGTGGAATAAACGCCTTGGAACCATTCTCTTTTGGGAACTTCTTCCACCACTCTTTGTTCCAGGAGCACAGAAATGCAGGATCTCATGGCCCTTCGTTTGATGCCTACCGGCACCTTTGATTTTTTGAAGAATGCAGTTTTTGGGTGAGAAGAGAATTCTATTCTGTAACCTTCTTTCACTATCGAAGTGACCCATAGGTCTGAAATATTGCTGGCCCATCTGGGGTAAAAGAACTTCAGTCTTCCTCCCACCATCCCCGAACGGGCCTGGAGACCTTCAGAAGTTCTTTCCTGAGATTCTAGGACCCCTACCTCTGGAAGCCTTATTGGAAGATGAGTGCGGATAGGATTTCCATGTGGAATTCCTGGAAAACTCCCTACCTGGCTTATAGCTTCTGCTGTCCCGAAAGGAACGATCCTTGAAGCGCTTGGTCTTCCAGGAGGAGGAAAAAGTCTTCCTGACAGTTTGAGGTAAGAACGCCTTTTTCCCATCAGCAGCCTTTTGGATAGCATCTTCCAAAATCTTTCCAAAGAGGAGATCCCCCTGAAACAGAAGAGCACACAGGGAAGCCTTAGAGGCATAGTCAGCACCCCATGAATGCAGCCACAAAGCCCTTCTAGAAGCCACTGACAGGGCCATGCTTTTAGCAATCATGCGAGTGATATCCAGGGAGGCCTCTGAACAGAATTCCGTGGCTAGATTAAGGTCCTTGAGGCTTTCCAACAGATGCTCCCTTCGGATACCTTGCTCAATGTCATCCTTCAGATTAGCGAGCCACACTTTCAAGGCTCTGGAAAGAGTCGTCAGTGCCACTGCCGGATGAAGGGCGGACCCAAGGGCCAAGTAGGCTTTAATTAGGTCTCCATCCAAACGCTTCTCCATAGGCTCCCTGAGATATGCCATAGAGTCTATAGGCAGTGTAGTTTTCTTAGCCATATGGATCACTGCCGCTTCAATTTTAGGAACAGAGTTCCACAGACCGCAATCCACCGCAGAGTACGGATAAACCCTCGCAAACTTACTTTTTAAGGTGGACTTCTTTTCAGGTTTATTCCATTCTTGAAGGATCATATCCCTGATTGACGTATGTACTGGAAAAGTAGGTCTGTTAGGCTTTAGGTCCTCAAAAAACCTGTCAGCCTCCTTCAAATCAGATCTTTCTTCAGTGAGACTAAGCGTGTCTCTAAGAAGGGCAATAAGTCTATCCACAGACCTGGAGTCCAGAGACCTGGAGGTATGATCAGCTTTCTCCTCACCATCATCCGAAACCTCCCAGACATCAGGGTCCTCATCAGAGCTGGAAGACTGAGGTTCCGCTCTGCGTCTCTTACTTGGACCACTAGAACCCGTGGTGGTCCTAAAGCCCTCAGCAATAGCCTGAGAAATCCAGAGCTTAAGGTCATCTTGAGGAGAGCTCCTACTAGGGGCATCAGCGACTTCCAACAAGCATTCCCTGCAAAGGTTCCTTCCACTCGGAGCGGATGAAGAACAATTAATGCATTTATTTGACTTATCCCGAGATTTTCTCGCTGGAGAGTCCAAATGAACGCTGGGGCTGGAAAAAAGCCATATATGACATATATTACAGGCTCAGTATGGCACTCTTTTAACAACCCCCCCCCCCTACACCATAAATAAATGGCTCACCTATGTTTTCTAGAGAGGGATCTTGCAGAGGCAGAGAGAGAATCCATACTATAACAAGAAACAAAACAAACTTCAGGACCAAAATTCCCTAAAGGGAAAGAGGCAGACTGACCAGAAAAAAGTCCAACAATGAGCAAGAATCAGCAAACCTACCTTAAGAGCAGAGCAACCACTATGCAGCCAGAAAGCAAACAGAAGCTGAGCCAGACTGGTATTCCAAGCTGTAGAGAGAAATCCGAAGAAAGGGCAGCATGAACAGCACTAAGGGGGCTGAATTAATCCCCTTAAATAGGTCCGGGCGGCGAACAGCTGACCGCCCGGTTCGCGCATGCGCAGAGCGGTGGAACGCACGCTATGCGTTCCACTTGCTCGCGACCGGCAGAACACTTCCGGTTTCGCCGGAACTGGCCGCAAAACAGCCAGCTGGAACGCAAATGCGTTCCAGCCCCCAAACCCCAAGCCCCAGAGGGGGGCCCAAGGGCCAGGGAACCCTGGGCATGTCCCCCCAAGCCAGAGAACCGGAAAAGGGGCAAGAAGGAGCAACAGAGGAAGGGAGAGACCCTCATCATGGATTCCCCAAGAACTGCCCACAAGGTATGGGGGGGGGGGGTATATAACCCCAATTAGTAGGGGCAGGTAGTAACAGGGGAATTTTTAAGGCATAACCAACCCCACCATAAACCAGAAGCATTAGTGTCTCCCTCAAACACTTACTTTCCCACGGTGCAGTTCAGTACTTACACTGAACCTGACCCAGTTAGTCCTGCTCATGCAGGCTGTTTACTGGGTCCTTCAAATGAAGAGAGGCTGAACTTCATTTGGAACGAACCCACGACAAACGCAGGAAGGTGAGCCATAAAACAAAATTGTAAAAAGTCCTGTAGAACCTGCTAAGGACAGGAAAAAAGACTGAGGTGTAAGGGGAGGAGGGACTCTTTATACCTATCAGTCTGATTAATTAATCTAATTAATTCCTGTCCTGTGACTACTAAGGGAGGAGCTACCCATAAGTGATGCTGCCATGATTAGCCAGGAAAATATCTTAAGTGAGGTAATGTAAAACCCTTCTGATAATGCTGAGCAGTGTAGGGGTTGCTTACTTAACTAATCTATTTTATCCAATGTCATACACCTGTATATCTACTATTGGAGTAAAAAAACATTTTACTAAATATGTGCTCTTTGAATTCTATATGGATGGAATTCGGTAGGGCATGTATGTGCACACAGAGGGCTAGGGGGAAGAGACATACAGAGGGCTGAGGAGGGAGGAGGGAGGGGGAAGAGACAAATCGAGGACTGGGTGGGAGGCACACAGAGGCCTAAAGGGAAAGCCACACGGTGGACTGGGGTACACACACACACACACACACACACAGAGGGATGAGTAGACACACAGATGACGGAGGGTGGAGAATAGCCACATAAAGGGCTGGGGAGGCAAACAGGCACACAGAAGGGTTGGGGGACAAAGCTGGATAGGGAAGCAAAGGAGGACAAAGACACAGAGGGGCTGGGGAGAAAGACAAAGGGGCTTGGGGAAGAGACACACAGAGGGGCTGGAGAAAGGGAAAAAGTGACCCAGAAAGGGTTTACGGGAAAAAAAGAGACACACAAAGAGGGCATGAGGGGACAAATAGACACAAAGAGGGGAAGACACACCAAAGGATTTGAGTAGGAAAAAGACACAAAGGGGGTGGGGTTAAAAAAAAGACACACATAGGGATGGGGAACAAAGAGACACACGGAGGGACTGATAGGAGAAGAGAGGCACACAAGGGGCTGGGATGGGAGGCAAGAGACACACAGAGGTGCTAGGGTGAGAAAGAGACCCACAGTGCACAGAGGGGCTGAGGAAGAGGAAAAATACACACAAAGAAGTTTGGGGAGAAAGAGAGACACACAACACAAAGGGACTGGGAGAAGAAAGAGACAGAGAGTTGGCAATTGTAGTTTTTATAGTAATGGTGGGATGCAAGAATTTTGCGTTGCCTACTCTGGTTGGCTGCACAGTCGGCATCGTACTATGCTAAGCTTAGCTTTGTGTACGAATGAGATTTTAAAAACTAACCTGAAAAATATATCTACTTATTTAGCTTTGGGGTGCACTTTAAATTATATATTTCTGTACTTTGGGAACCATTATATTCATATTCAACTGTTTCCCCTCACGTCAGTCAATGTCACATTTTCAAAGGTTCTATGGGTGGTTACGGGCAATCTTGACGCTGACATGTTTCCTTCACTGGCAGCCAATTGGCATCAGCGCATCCTATACTCTCTTGCCCTCCCAATCCTCTTCTTAGACTTATAGCATATGCGGCTGGCGTACAGTTCTAATGGCTAGAACTGAGTAACAGGTGGGGATGGGCCAGATTTTCAAAAAACATCAAAAACATTTAAATAACTAATATTCATTAGCCCTTGTTGAATGTATGTACAATGACTGGTACACGTTAAAGCAATGAGATTACATTCTATGTTGTTAATTTAGATTATATGGACTATCTTTTAGCTGGTCATGATCTGATATTCAATTGAAAGACAAAACCATTTTTACTGTATTTCTGTAACTTTACAGACGTCAGAGCAACTCCAATGTAAAAAATTAAATAAAAATATATATATCACATTCCTTTTATTTCTCATTAAGACATCCTTTGAGAAGTCCACAGGACCAATTTTTTTTAAACATTCCTTGTAGATAGAGGTGTGAGTTCTGCATGAAATCTTCCGTTCAATCCTCCATTTAATAAGAAGATGCATAATCCATGGTAATGTAGAGGAGATGAAATGACTTTGACACTGATACATTATTAAGCAACTTGTGCTACTGAAGAATGTGAGACACATCACTGTAAACGGTCAATGACAGATCTCAGGAACCATATTGACCTTGGATGCAAATTGGTTGGTGATCCTAAATATCGTCATTTTGGAAATTAAGAATTACCATAATTATAAAAAAAAAAAAAGAGGAATATTTTTTAAAAGATCTTTGGCATAAAAGTAAAAAAGAAAACAAATTATATATATAACAGATGCAATTAAGACGAACATGAAAATGAAAAAAATTCATGGTGAGGATTATTTATAACGTTCCATGAAGTTGCCTTAACCATAATTGGATCGCCAATCTTTGAAAGTTGACTGATAAATTATTCAATAGTTTCTCAAAAACTATCGACCACCGAATTTGGAGAGAAGATTTGTGTCACATATGCCGGTCTTGTTCAGAATCCATGTGTCACTCTCCATTGTTGGTAAACTTTTCTAGTTTAAAATGAAACTATCCATACACGGTCCATACTCCATGTGTGTCTCTTTATCTTCTAGAGTTCATCATCTGAAATAATCAGCATCATTTTCTCATTCTGTTTCCGTTTCTTGCCGGAATGATTGTTGGTCGAGCTGGCACTACTGTGTCCATTTTGGTCTTGTGCTTTTCGTTCAGACTCCTGCATAGATTGTTGAGTGTACTGTTGGTAAGCTGGCGAGAAGTTGTGAATAGCATCCTGGACAATGTCATGAGGACTGATGGTCTCCTTCAAGCCACTGGAGATGCTTTGCATTGGAGGCACACTCGCTGCTGATGAAAGAAGGCAAATACAATCAATTTAACAGCCAAAACCAAGACCATATATATCTCATTCTTTTCACAATACTCCTAGTAACTCTAGTAACAGATTAGTCTAGCCAGGTAACCCTGGTCAACTTGACATCTGACAATTATCATTTGTATTACCAGTTCTTATTAAATATCATTAGCTTCTCAAATTTAGTCACAGACTTTTACCAAGTAACTATTGGGTCACTGTTTGATTAAAAACAAAACAAAAAAAAAAGCCTCAGGGTTTAGTGCCTTCTTGGAAAATTGACAAGTGGATTAACAATTCCTTTCAGACTGGATATCTATATTCATGCAATATTAGCAGATATCTAAATATACATAAATAACTGAGAAGCCCAACAAAGCATGCGTACTAAAGTAATTTCAGTGCCACGGCAGACAACAGGATTCGGTCCCCTGGTAGGACAGTGCCAACACCCCCATCTCCCCTTGCATTTAGTAGATAGGGGTTTCCAAACCCCAAGACACCAACCTATCTCAATGCTCCTCCCCTAATAGTAATACACCCCATCTACCTCTCTTCATCTGGTAAGTAAAATATGTTATCTGGAATGAATTAAAGTTCTTGAAGTGACAGAGTGTCACAAAAAGTTACCTTTACCCGGCGCACGCGCCGCTCCTCTGGCCACGCGGCCCGAATATAATACTTACCTATCTTGATCCTGTTTCTTGTTGTATTTATACGTTAAGTCCAGCCATTCTAAGGCTCGGTAACACACCTTTTGTGGGTTTCCTCTTTCCTGTGTGTTGGGGTAGGACTCCCGTGACACAGAGAGGCTTTTATATTGTACACATATTTAGCAGTTTCAAACCAGAGCACTGGACACACAATGTCCTCTTCAGAGCAGTTTGTGGGGATATCATAAGGGACACACGGATTAGGCACTCTTTATAATTTGTATTTAATCCACAGGGATTAAGTACTCTCTTTCTATTATGTATATAATCCACAGGGATTAAGCACCCTCTTTATATTATGTATATAATCTACAGAGGTTAATCTAATAGTTTTGAAAAATTATGACTGATGTCTACTGCAAAATGTGACTCATTTTTATAAACTGTTGCCACCAGCTCACCATTGCAGGGACTTGAGATTTACCTACCTAGTATAAACCTACTGATGAGCAATAGAAGGATGATTATAAAAGAAAAATAGTAAGTCTTAAAATAAAATAAGAAAATTCATCCATTTTTGGATGTGATATTTGCATTTACGGTAAGTTTTTTTAAGGCTAGTAACAGCACCCTCTGCTGGCAAGTATAATGTATTGACCACCAATAAGAAATTTTACAATAAAGCTATACAGCTGGCATGTGCATGAGGAATATATGCTGTTGCCTATGGCAGTGCCAGTGATCACAAACAATTCTTATAACTTTTTCACAAGTCTGTGAATCCTGATGAAACGATTTCATAGTTTGGGATGTGTCGAGAGCGTCGCTCGGCGCTGGAATGAAGTAAAACCTTCGTTTAAAATGCTTTTCAAGCATTCAGAGGTAGGACCCTGATGAATGATGACAGAAGGGCATTTTTCACAGGTTAAAAAATAAAAAATAAAAAAACAAGTTGGAGAAACCCTATAAGGCAAATGTATATCCACTGAAGAAAAACTACACATGTTAAAACTTAAAGTGTAAATTGTTGAGAATTCAAAGTAAAATTCAGATTATATGCCAACGTAGTTGAAGACTTCTTCAAATTCAGCTACTTGTCTAAATTTTGAAATCGAGTTTGTATTCCAAACAATTCACACTCATTTATTGTGATTAATCCTGACAATATTCCAATTTCTATAATCTACTAAAAGGGTGCCCACTATTTATTTATATACACAGTCTTAGTCTAAGTGTTTCACACATGGCTTCTCCATTTTGGCTTTATTTTTGTTGAATAAATCATGACAGTATAATCTGTCGTATTTACCTAATTTTAAAACCTTCTAAGGAACATATTGTTATTACAAAAAAATATACATAAAATCATTTTGATAAATAAAAAATAGAGAACAAATAATTGCATTTTTCCTTTCTATACATTTGCTGTTACCTGTTGAATTTTCCTTTTTTTCCCGGTAAACCTGGCACGTGAAGGCGTAACGCAAAGCAATGGCAGCAAATAGCATTTCAATACAGATGATAAAGTTCTGGCAGCCGGCTGCCACCGTGCCCGCGCCAACTGTTTTGTTGTTAATGATTTGGACTTCTGGGATGACGCCACACCGTTCCAAAATAGCCAGAAGCATTCCTGTAGAAAATGGGAAGGTTAGGAGCACTGCCATATGACCATGAATGGTGATTGTCTTCTTTATTCTACGTAAAAGGTGGCCCAAAGGTATATTGCAAAGCAACATGGGAGAGAATATTCTATAAACACCTTTTGGACACTCCCTGATGCACAAAAGGGTATATAGCAGGCCCCAAAGAGTAACTTTATAGTCACTTTAAAACACTTATTATAGTACTAGACCAAAAGAGGACATGATCGATAGAAGATTAAAAGGGTCTCTGCATTATATTGGCTTTAAAAAAAAAATCTAAATAATGTTACTTCTTTCAGCTCTATATGCAATTTGTAATGTGTGCAAATTAGTGTTTTTCATTTGAGAAAATCCTACTTTGCAGAAAGGGTAGTATATATATATATATATATATATATATATATATATATATCCAGAAACTCCTACAGGTGGACCAGTAGACACAGTGGGGGTTATCACCAAATGTAATTAATTGAAAACTAACTTGCTAAGTTTAATCTCCAACATTCAAGCCATGACGATGGCTCAACTGGGGATCTTTCCTAAATCTGCACTTTGTTTGCCTTAATTTTGCAATTCACTGCAATTTGGTTGATGGTGCGTAAACACCACTAAAATAATTGAATAATACTCAGGATGTGCATAAAGCTATCCTGAAGACTAAATATTAAACTATGTTTCATAATGGGCAGATTAGATAAGCCAAGCACTTGTTACCTGGCTGTGCAATCTTTGCTTTGAGAATTTTATAAACTTGAATATAAATGGGGCCTCTACATTATATTGGAATAAAATAAAATAAAATAAAATAAAATAAATTTAAAATAAATTTTAGTTTGACCTCTTTCACTACTTTCTCACTTGTGATAATGTATGCAAATTATTTTTTCCTCCTTTGTAGTACTTAATTTTCAAATGGTGAACATATTGATGTCACAGATGGGAGAGGAACCAATTCAATAAAAAATATAACACCTCTCTCAAACTATGTATTTAATAAATAAAGATAATAGGAGATGAAGATAATTTATCAAGGCACTTTGCATTCTGGGAGCAAAGAGCTAAATATTGAGACACGTTCTATTGGTTTCCATGGTGATTGTTCCTTTTTTAGTATTTTGTGGATCCTTTAACAGAGTTGTGTTCTAAAACTGGTCAGTCACCATGGAAACCAATGGAACCAGCACACACATTCCATTTACGACTCCTCCCCTTTTTACATTTTTTGCACCACTATTTAGAATAGAACATTTTTGTACATATCCCTCACTGTCTTGATAATCTTCTCAATGGCTTCTGTAGTTTCCCTTTTAAGCCAACGCAGGTCTTGTGAAATATGGGGCCACACATTATATTGAAGAGAATTATAAAAAAAATAATAAAAACAAATAGGAAAAAATAAATAAATCACATACAGTCATATATGTGTGAACACCCTTTCCGAGGAAGAAGACATGGCATAAAAAAATAAAATAAAAAAATAAATAAAAAAAAATAAAAAAAATCGAAAAGAAGTTATTTAAATCCATGCATATTGAAACAATTCCTGTCTATGCTCATTAGCATGTCAAACTGGAAACCCTAATAGCTATGGAGTTTCTATGAGGAAATATATATATTTTTTGTATTTGCACTATAAGGCGTTGTATCATGCCTGGTCTCCTTACAATCTTTTTGGTACCTAGCAAACCTATCTATATGCTCTTAGTGATACTTTAACATCTACAGCAGGGCACATGCCATGCTGACGAGTCCCACAAGGCTGAAACTGCAGTCCATGGATGGTTTATGGTCACTGATGCTTTTGCTTTGACTTAAAAATAAACTGTGCTTAAAACTGTGTTTATTATTAAGGATATCTACATAAACGCAGTATGAAGTCCGAAACACAATGTCTGCTCATTTGCATGTCAAGCTAGGAACTCTGGTATAGTTGTGGATACATCATTTCTCAAGTTTTTATACCCAAGAAAGGCTTTCCAATTAAGTCCAACTTAAAATATGCAGGTGATGTAAAACAATATTGTTTCGCATCATGGTAGTCAGATGTTAAAACTTCCTTTTTCTCAAGAGATTTTCCTCCATGAACACCCTAGAACCATATCTAAAAAAAAAGGACCTGTTTAACATAAATTGTCTATCCACAGATTGCTTTTACCAACCTTGCCAAAATGATAGGAAGATGACTGCTTTGATGGTGAGAAACTTGAGAACCGGCTCAAAAGGACGCAGTAGGTCTTTAGTGGCAAAATAGAAGAGAAATAGGGCATAGAGTGCCAAGCTAACCGAGAAATTGTAGATGATGGTAATGTAGAGATAACCAGTCTGAACACTGCAATAAAGAGGAAGATGATGTCACATGCAAATTAAAATTTTATGCAAAAAATAAATAAATTATATTTTTCACTTTTCTTACTGTCTAAATCACTCAAACAGTTGACCCAAATGCACCACTGGTGATAACGATCAGGTAATAACAGAAGATCTGTCACATAGGATATGTGGAACTCAAGGTCTACTGCAATCAAACCTGGTCTTATATCCGAGGTACTCCAAGAGGTGAATACTGCTTTCCTCTAAATATTCCTTTATTCAGGAATTCAGAGTGAATTTAAATAATTTTGCTAACAAATATCAAAACAGCCGAAATGCATAGAGATATAGAATAGCTGAATAGCCCCCTGTTATCAGAATATTGGATACTGTACTATAGTATTGGATATCTTGGCATGAAATTAGAAATTAACTTTGAATTCAATAAAAAAAAAAAAAGTGAATAACCATGCATCATTTTTATTTTTAGAGAAACAAAAATGAGATCAAAGAACAAAGGTGAGGGAAATGTTATAGGAGATCAAAGTAGGGTTGCGTTTGTTATCATTTTATTATCATTTATGATACACCTCTCAAGGTGCTGAGGCCATTAACTATGGAACAAAAAGGCCAAACTAGAAAAGGTGCACAGTAAGATTGTAGACATGTGCAATTCGCTTCGGTCCGAATGTGAATTCGGACGAATTTCGGGAAATTCAGACATTCGGGTACTTCCAAATGTCCGAATAGATTAGTTACCGAATTGCCGAAGTCCCGAAATGTCGAAGTTCGGAAGCACAGCATTGCCTAAGAACTAATATACTTACCCAATGGAATAATCTAGAATGTTACACTATATACAATGTTAAATAAAAAATATACAAACATAGCCAGGATTCAGCTGTAAGCATTTGCAACACTTACAACAAACAAGTAACAAACATTCATATAAAATGTAAGTTACTTAACCTGTCAATGTAATGACAGGAATGAATAAGTAGATAACTCCCTAATTCCCACGGTATCAGGGAGCTATCTACTAAAAGGCTGATAGACCTAAATTGGTCTTTCAGCCAAATATACTAATACTAAGTAAAGATTACTTAGTATTAGTAAATTATGCCCCTACTTGCTATACCACGAGTAGGGGCATGTCTATTAACCCCTTAAGGAGTGAGCCAAATGTACACGTTGTGAACAAAACAAAACGTGGCATTTGCGCTATATGTCTGTCCAACCGTAATTCACCTCTTTCATATTAAATGCACCCACCCTTATTATATGTCATTTTATTCAGGGGAAACAGGGCTTTCATTTAATATCAAATATTTAGCTATGAAACTATTTAATATGAAAATGGGAGAGAATAAGAAATTATGTTATTTTTTTAGTTCTACATCACATTTTAACTGTCAATGTCATAATACGGTTTGCTTTTACTGCAATAAAATACACATATTTGTATTCAGCAAACTCTCACGTGTAAAACAGTACCCCCTATGTACAGGTTTTATGGTGTTTTGGGAAGTTACAGGGTCAAATATAGCACGTTACATTTGAAATTGAAATTCGCCAGATTGGTTACGTTGCCTTTGAGACTGTATAGTAGCCCAGGAATTAAATTTACACCCATAATGGCATACCATTTGCAATAGTAGACAACCCAAGGTATTGCAAATGGGGTATGTCCGGTCTTTTTTAGTAGCCATTTGGTCACAAACACTGGCCAAATTTAGCGTTAGTATTTGTTTGTGTGTGAAAAATGCAAAAAACCGCCAGTTTTGGCCAGTGTTTGTGAGTAAGTGGCTACTAAAAAAGACTGGACATACCCCATTTGCAATACATTGGGTTGTCTACTATTGCAAATGGTATGCCATCATAGGGGTAGTTTTCATTCTTGGGCTACCATAGGGTCTCAAAGGCAACGTAACCAATCTGGCAAATTTTAATCTGAAAAAAATGAAACACAAGCCTTATATTTGACAATGTAACTTTTGAAAACACCATAAAACCTGTACATGAGGGGTACTGTTGTACTCGGGAGACTTCGCTGAACACAAATATTTGTGTTTCAAAACAGTAAAAAGTATCACAGCAATAATATCGTCCGTGTAAGTGCGGTTTGTGTGTGAAAAATGCAAAAAACTTCACTTTTACTGGCGACATCATCGTTGTAATACATTTTACGGTTTTGAAACATTAATATTTGTGTTCAGCGAAGTCTCCCGAGTAAAACAGTAACCCTCATGTACAGGTTTTATGGTGTCTTGGAAAGTTATAGGGTAACATGCTAGCAAATTAAATTCCCTATACTTTCGGCATGGGTTGTCAGGCAGGTCACGCTAATTGTAATTAAGATCCCTAATTATGTAAAAATATTACATAAATATAAATATATATATATAAAAAAATTTTTAAATATTTTTATTTATATATAGGTGTATATATAGTGATATATACGTATATATTTATGTATATATAGATATATATTTCGTTCTACATGTATTTTGATATAAATATATATTAATATCACAATACAGTTAGAACGAAATAACACACCTATATATTTTTTTTAATTTTTTTTATTTTTAACGTATTTACATTTTTTGTAATATATATATATATAACAATAATTATATATATTTAATCAGTATAAGTCTACGTGTAATGTGATAATATATTTTAATAGTAAAATACACCTAGACAGTGTGTGTGTGTGTATATATACACACACACACACACACACACACACACACACAGGCTGCTCACTGTTTAATAGACATGCCCCTACTCGCGGTATAGCAAAATTTACGAATACTAAGTAATTTTTACAATCGGAATTAGAGAGAGTTATCTACTAAGTGGCTGCAAGAGAAGTCCCGAATTGCCGAAGTCCCGAAATTCCGAATTTCGGAATGTCGAACTGAACCGAAAATTTTCCCCATGCACATGCCTATAAGATTGTTTGATTTGTTTTTGGCCCAAAAATTTGCCATTTGCAATTTAGTGAACAAGTCAATTAGGATCGAGAGACAAATAATATTTACAGCAACTAATTATATTCATGTCCCTCCAAAAAAAAAACAAAACAAAAAAAAAAACACAAAACCATCCCGAAATACCAAATCCTATAAAACTGAAAGCACCGTTACTTACTTAAAGTCCCCATCTCTATATTTCCCAAATGCTTGCAGGATAATTGTTACAACTGCCATGATGGGTTTCACTATACAGAACTGCAAAGTGGCCTGTAAAAAATAAATACATGAGATTGATGTGTTGGGTCTTTTTAGAGACATATAGTAGTTAGTGCATGCATACACACGTTTACTACAGATAGGGTGGGTAAACAATTCAGTAAAATAGCACAGTTTTAAAAGATTTATCCTGTTTCGGAAGGGTTCTAAACTTAATGACTAAAACAGTCCCCATACAAGCTGCATTATACATGGTCTTTTGGTTTTTAACCTAAATGGAATTACTAGAAGATGTGGACAGGTGTTGATGAGATATTCTGCTCCATAAATGTTGCTATTTTGTTTTATTTACCAAGTACATACAATACAAGGCTCATTGAAGAGAGATTGATGGTGATTCTGTTTTAAGAGCAGTTCTTACAGCAACATTCTATAGTGGAGCAATCAAGAGTGGTCTTCCTAAAGGGTAATCTAGACGTGGACCCTTTGCTCACACTGTCTAGAGGAATATTGGCTATACCTCAATGACAAGACTAACAAGACCTTCTGGGGTTGCTGTATCCCTCGTGCAGAAAGAAAGAGTCTGCCTGAATTTCATATCTGGACCGCCAATTTGAGTGGAATAAGACCGATATGCAAATGGTCCTGGTTCTTTTTATAATGTCACAAGATGAGCTAAAACTAGCTTGAGATCTGAGCGGGGACCCACCGAAGGGCAAACTACTTGAGCCATGGTCTGTTCTCAATATTCTCTTGCACCTTCTTTTTGTGATCAATCAGAAGTAGCATTCCATTGGTTTCCATGGTGATTACTTTACTTATCAATCTTTGTTCCACAATTGCTTGCTACATAAAGCCATCAAGGTTTCTCGTGGTTCTGGTTAAGTCTCTGAAATTACCACTCATGTGTGACCCACCTGTTTGCAGAACCGTAGAAAGCCTATGGAGTATGACATTCCTTGCAGACAACAGGTACCATAATAACAGCTGGACCTGGGTGGAAGAAACAGACATTAAGCAACCGTGACCAGAATTATTAACTGTACATAAGGAACCATTTCCTTCTTGTTGTTCATTTCCAGTAACCCAACTTGCCTTCTGTACAGGACAATGCAGACCAAATGATACAAGTGTGTGGGTCAATGGCAAACCTCATACATAAGGTTCATAGATCACACAGTTTAATTGTGATAGATCAGATCATTGAATCTAATGGTGAGATCCAGAATGGTACTTAGTTGGTGATCATTTCTGGATTTCTAACAGGGTTATTTACTAAAGTGAGAATTAATAGACATTAAAGTTAGTTTCAAAATTTAGGCTAAAAGGACTGAATTTGAAAAAAAAATAATAATCTACAAATCACTGTTTTCAGTTTGGCAATTTTAGCCTTAAATTTGAAATTCACCTTGAATTCTCACTTTAGTGAATAATCACAGGTGTATTGAGGTTTGTTACACGGCACCCAGTCACTTCTAGATTATAAAATAACCCTATGGCTGCCAACATTGCTGGCTCTCCAGTGTTCAAGGAGATGCCAATGTCCAGCACTCCATAAAATGTGTGCAAATCTGAGAGGTACTTGTGCTACTGCAGCCTGGCTTAGCTACACAGGGCAATGTAAAAGCACACACAGATACTGTATGGAACAAGACGTAGGGTCTGCAAGCATCAAATATATTTACTCATTGCTTCCTATTGTCCTGGCTACATTTAATGGTCAACCTTCCGTTTCCTATAAAAACTGGGCATATTAAATGCCAGGCACTGCTTAAACAACACTGAAACTATAATTTTATTCAAAAGAGCGCTGCATTTAAAAATATATTACTAGGCTACATCTTTACTCAGAAACTCCACCTAATGTCAAACATCTCAAGTTTAGCAACGTTACAAACATCATTAAAAGTGCTGGTAAGAATAATGAATGCTATTAAAGTGTTGGGTACACAGCTATCTGTGCAGTAGGATTTTGGGGTTCAAGGTCACAGGGTACCGGTCTTCAAAATGGGCAGTAATTAAAAGTCCTATTTAACCCCAAACCCACCCTAACCGTAAATCTGTTCTAATACAAAATCCTTTTAAAAAGCAGTATTTCATATATGACATTTTTACGGTTTATCAGAACCTCCTACTTCATAGGGTAAACTCCTGTAACCTGCGTCATTACAGCACTGGGTGAAGCAGTGAGTCCTGCATTACAAAGGACATTGTGAAATATAAATATTTTCAATGCAGTGACAACATGGTGCCATTCTAATGAGACTGCCCTTTAAATAGGAATCTGGCCCTGCTGACAGCAAATATCAATAAATACTCTATACATAAAGTAATGAGGAGGAAAACCTCACCTTACTGGCTTCCCCCGAATCTCTGTCATTATGGCACTTTCTCCTCCCAGATATTCAAAGCAGAGGCTGAGGAAGCTATAGATGACAAACGCTGTGAAAATAAGAGTGAGACATCAGACACCTTGAACACATTTTACAACAAGTATGGTAACATTTTCTGCTAGTTTCCAATACTACCTTACAAAATCAGATAAGAAACTGTTTTACCCACAACAAACTGTGTGTTATTAATTTTACTGTCACCATAAACATATCCATGAATTGACACGGTCCTTCCATTGTTCCATTTGAGAACATTGCAGAAATAGATCTTGTTTAACATGTGTTGCCAAGTGACAAAGAAACGTGTGCATTTCACTCCACGTTGGGGCCTATAAATTCTGTATGAGCAAATAGGTTATTAAAATATCTTTAATACATTTGTGGATAAACAAATGTTAGCACAGTATTCCGATAGTCTTTCTGCTTTAGTGCTTCAGCCATACTTAACATTGGGATGTCACATGTGATGTGAACTACACGTCCCACAATGCATAGAATGATATTTGGTCCGGCGCGACCACTAGGCGAACTTGGCAGCCGCCAAGGATGCACGGGCACGAGGGGAGCAGTCTTCGGGTGTCCGTCAGGGCTCCCCTCCTGCCGGTCACAGCATGTAGTGTGGCCCAGTCTTGGACCGCGTTAGAGGGGCTTCTATATCCCCTACCTAGTCTGACAGGAAATATGAGCAGGGAACGCCGCATGCTTCCTATCAGACCGGGTAGAGGTTACAAGTGTTCCTATACTGTTGCCTGCTTCTTGGCCTCGCTACACGGGAGGCAACTGACTTGGGAGGGTGGGGAACCACAAAGTGACAGGGGGCAAAAAGACACACAGAGGAGCTGGGGTAGACAAAGCAACACACAGAGGGTTGAGAGGGACAAAGCAACACACAGAGGGCTGAGAGGGACAAAAGAGACACACAGAGGGATTAGGGAGGAAGAGACACAGAATGGTCCAGGGGAAAGAAAAAAAAAAAAAAAAGACACACAAAGGACTTGGGGGAGAAAAAGACACACAAAGTAGGCAATTTCTTCAAACAAATTTTGGGGTGGGAAGGGGTGCAAGTTGCTGGTCTTTCCTAGCGTGCAAAATAGTCTTGCACCCACGCTAATAATCATGTAGTGGTGGACCTGAAGCAGAGGAAGGAATAATGTCATGATAAATCAAATCCGCATACAGATGTCAAATGTGCACCACGACTTTACCTTCATAGCAATCTCTGACTGAATCAAAATATACATAGTATTGATCATTGCCAATGAACAACAGGCTGAGCCAAGAATCAAAGGAGTAAATCGGAACAATGAACAAGATCCGGATGATGTAGCGTTGCTCGTTGGGGATGGTGTAATTCCTTAGATGAACATAGATCTGCAAAGAGAATGAGAAACATTTTTAATTTTTTTTGATAACCATTAACCATGTCGCAGTGATCTCACCGTTACATTAGAGAATGTGATCTGTTACAATGATCTAGCAAGTACTTTTCCATTATCAGTGTTTGGAGCAATCAATACGCGGAGCTGGACTGAGCAGAGAGAGAGACATAAGGCGGTTAGCACAGAGGACAAGGGTCATTTCCCTGATCAAACATAATTTGGGTATGTGACAGATGGAGATATCTCTTGGAACATGATCACTAATGAGTAATGGACAATAAATCCCGTGCTCTCAGCCTTTTCCGCCCAATCGCATAAGCCCTGGAACGATAACTATCTAATCTACCTGTAGCATAAGGTTTTTCTTCGTTTAGATAACAACGCAACCTTGTTACAGCAACATTATTATGGGGAAAAAATAAAAATAAAAATCACACAGGAATATTAGGTAAATCGGAATACTTAACCAGCATTGGATGATGACTTCTAAGCAAACTGCTTAAGTTATTTCTGTTCCGTGCTTTATTCACTAAACCAGGAATTACCGATAATCGACAAGGGAATTATACATTATAAGCACGATAGGCAACCTGGTAATGTAGCGGGGCAAGAGAACTTTTCATACTTGTCTATTTTGGCCTAAAAGCTGTAATTCACAATATATATTTATTTATTTTTTTCTAACCATGAGATTGCAGAGTCAAGATTGCACTGTAGATGGTAGTCTGGTATTTTTAAACAATTCGAAGTACTTTCCTCTAACATAAAGTGCTCAGGTGCACGGATATGAGAAGACCCACTTAAACTGCTGTCACAGACTACATGCTTGCAAGGTACAATAAGGTGGGTTTTCCTTGCAGTCACAGTAGGACATACACACTTATACTTTGAAGAAAAGAAGCAAAGGAAAATGAATTATTGCAAATCTACCCAAAACATAGTTTAAAGGAACCTTTAGTTAAAACAGAACTGTTGGACAATCCCAAAAAACACTTCAGCTTAGCTAAAGGTCTCATTTTTCTTATATTATAAAAGTTCTTATTTCAAGAGAAGGTGACACTTTCATGAAAAATCGTCTATTACACTCTCCATCTGTCAGATAATTGAGAGGGTTTCCTGCCTCATTCTCTTTAAATATCTTTTCATAGAAGGAAATATAGATAAGCATTAAAAATCAAGGCTTCTCTGTATATTTTATTGGTAGAACCAATTGCAATGAACAAACCCTAGTTGCTCACTGCCTCTTTATGTAGGAACTGGAGATCACTCAATCATGATGATCTCAGTAGAGGCAAATGAAGCTGCATCGAAGGGACTGTCTCCGTAATGGTAAAAAAAATTTTTTTTTTAAATTCTAAAAAGACACTAAAGACACCCAGGCCACGTCATCTCAATGCACTGGCCTGGGTGCAGTGGCCCCATCATTTTAACCATGTAATGTGTAACACTGCAGATTTTTCACTTTTATTTTTTTTTTTTTACTGCAATGTTTAAATTGTAGGGTTAAGTCCACCTTTAGTGGCTGTCAGTATGAGGGCGCTTCCGTGGCATGGCCCGTATAAGCTTGGAAAGCTTTGGCGCAGTCACGGCTCTCGCAATGCAGAGGCAGTTGATTCTCCCTTATCAGGATTGTTGTTTTGAACAATCGGAGAGGAGGTGATGCCTCCTCAATGTACTTTCAGGAGGTGGAGAGGTCAGCAATGCGAGGAAGTCTTGGCGCTGGAAAAGGGGTAAGTAAAATACATTTTATATTTTTTTTTTATCCCAAACTGAAGATAATAAAATACTAGAGTATAGTATTATAATGAGTAAAACTGCACTTTATTAGTTTTAAGTATGTCAGTTTACATTTCTCCATGATCCTTTGCTAAAATTAAATTGCATCCATATTGTGTTATCAAGATCCTTTGATAGGAGTGAAGACTTAACGTGTCAGCAAAACTCACAAAATGTTGTGAGAAAAAGGGGAAGCGGGAAAGGGACTCTCCAGACTGGAAGATCACTTACAGCATTTCCAGAAGTAAACTGAACAGTGGAGGTAAGTTGGAAAGACCAATTCTGTACGTGAACATGCACACTTAGAATTGTCTCTTGCAGTGCCAAATGTGCCGTTTGTACATCACTGCCGGAGTTAAAATGTTACTCAAAGCACCATAACCACTACAGCCTGCTGTAGGGTTTTTGATACTAGTAGGATCTTGGCCCATTTCCCGTTAATTGGGCAAACTGTTTGCAACCATTTGCCCTCTTAACTTGGCCCCCACCAGCCACCAAAGGTCCTCTATTGCATGTAACACGCAGAGCTGCAGAAGCCTAATGCCGATCTAGTCAGCCATTCACTGGCTGAGAGTGTCAGCTGACCGCTCTCAGCCAATGAATGCAACTCAAAGCATAGACCTACGGCTAATAATGCCCCAGTGATCCATAGGCGTGCACACAGGGTGTGCCTGTTGTGCCTAGGCACACCCTAATCCCCGCGGCACGCCTATGGAGTAAGACCGGCAGAGAAGATCTCAGGATCTCCCCTGTTGGCTCATGCAGAGCCGGCGCTATCTGAGCGCCGGCTCTGCTCTCAGCCTCCTTTCCCACCGACCTACAGGCATGGAGGGAGGCAGGAGAGGACCCGGGGAGCTATTGCCGGCAGCTCCGCCGGGTTCCTCTCGGCGAGATCTGAGCGTTGCCGCGGCAATGCTCAGATCTTGCGAGAGTGAACTCTAGCCCTGTAGGCTAGAGTTCACTCACCACTGGACCACCAGGGAAGGCAGCAAGGAAGGATTCCCCCTACCTACATAAGGTGAGAAGGGAGGGGGGATATTAAGTAATGTACCCACACACACAGCACCTACACACATACAGCACCCACAGACACACACAGCACCAACACACATACAGAGCACCTACACACAACCCACACACACACCACCCCCCCACACACACACATACAGCACCCCCTCACAAACACACAGCATCCTCACAAACACACAGCACACAAATAGCATCCCCCCCCCACACACACACACAGGACACTAACAGTACCCTCACAAACACAAACAGGACCCTAACAAACACACACACACAGCACATTAACAGCACCCTCACAAGTGCGCACACACAAACACCCTCACCCACATAGCACACTAACAGCACCCACACAGCAGTGTGTGTATATATATATATATATAAATATATATATATATATATATATGGTGTGCGCTTGTGCTTTAGGGTGCACACCCTAATGCAATAGGCTGCGCACGCCTATGGATGCTGCTGAAGGTGGAGATACAACTTCGGCGGCAAAATGGTTAAATTCCATATGTGCAACATTTCAGATCAAAATGCTGCCCAGCAAACTTCAGGCACCATCATCACTTATGGTTTGCAGTGCCTGAATTTGCGGTAAAACGCAAGCTCTCTACAAACCAGGAAGTGACTAAGACAATCATGATACTCACTTAGTTTAGCATGGCTAAGCTTATCCCATAAGCAATGTTTTATGGGTGCAGTATGGATTTTTGGGAGTTATAACTCATTTGTCAGTTTTATGCCGACAAAGTTTACACTTTTGACAAAGTAACCTCTTTTGCAACATGTGTAAGGGCTAATAAAATACAGGATACATTGATTTTATCTTTGCAGTGGTGTGCTGTGTGTGGGTAACACCATGCTGCCTTCAAAATAAAATGCTCAGCAATGTGCAGTGTGAATGAGTATCACAGAGCTCCAGGAGCAATAAACTCACAGCAATGTGCATTGTGTCTGAGTTTATCACAGAGCTCCAGTAATAAAACCGTGTAATACACTTGGTGTTTATGAATGAATCACAGAGCTCCCTAGCAATAGAATTTACAGGAATAACTGTCGTGTATGAATTTGTAACAGAGCTCACTGGTGTCTGAGATTTATCAATTTATCACAGAGTTCCACAGCAATAAGTGTCACGGTAAAAAAGGATTGAACTTTTTTCTTTGGATTCACTGAAAAAAGAACCACAAGCATATCATTTTTATTTTTGTGTTTGCGCATGTCTGTGAGGGAGGCTTGACTCAAATTCTTAAAACCAAATGCTATCTGTCAATAAGATTACACAGTTTTGGAGGTTTAGTGATGCCTGGAAGACAATATAAGACACCGTAATGGAGATTTAACAAGGCAAAACAGGAAACGTTCTGGGGCACCACTTTTAGAACAAAACATTGATAAATCTCTCCCAATGTATGTCTACTTTTAGCAAAATTGCACTTGCTTTGCCTTAATAAATCTGCCCCCCACATATTTAGTTATCTTACATATTACATAGATCCCCGTAGTCCAGATAAAATGATCTTACCTGGTGACATGTCAGGAGCAGAGCGGTCCAAACGAACACTCCCGAAATCCCTTTAGCAGCGGCTGTAGTCAGGAATAATTGGTCACCAGATACCGTGTTGTTAGCAGAATCCCTGAGCTGGGAGGAACCGTCTGTCTCTAGACTGTACACGTTTATAAGGGTGGGTAGAGTGGACAGTCTCAATGTTTCGTTCATCGTTCCGTTTGTGACTGGGGATGAAGACATGCTTCCTGTGATATTATTCATCTGTGTAAAGTCAGAGGCCAAAGGTAAGTTCCAGGTATCATGAGACACAGGACAAGCCCAGAAAGGATAGGAAAGAAGAAAATGTGCAACCAAGAAGGGGGAAGAGCTTACTGAAATATACAGAATGACAGCATAAAAAACTAAAACAAAAAAACTAAACACTAGTTCTACTCCAGAAAAAAAAAAATTATTTTAAAAGCTAAAAAGACTAAAAGCTAGTTTTACTATAGAAAGAAGACGAATTTTCAAAGGAATGCAATAAAAAAAGATGATTTTTTTTGTTTAAAAAAGTATTTTTAGAATTAAAAAGTGTTTTCTAAAATAATTTATATGCAAGAACCTAATTTAAATATCTTAATATTAAAGTTAGATTCTGAATTGTATTTTTTTTTAAGGAATAATAAAAAAGGTAAAAAAATCCCACAAAATTATCGTATGACCATGTCAGCTTCATACAAGTAGCAGAGGATAAAAATGTATTCTTGCCGAACACTATTTCACCTCCAAGATGGCCAGACCTGTAGATACAAGTTCAACCACCAGCTACTGTTAAACATCACGCAAGTCTGTATTTAATTTTTTAATTATTCTACATATGTAGATTTGCTAGTCAAATGGCTGGCACACTGCATCGGTAAAATGACTGACAATAAAGTGGCCAATATTTTCCACGACAAAATCACTTTAACTGTTGGTGCATAAGTAACATTTCCTAATAAAAAATAATTTTTGTGCGAGATGAAGTGGTTATGGTGCTTGAAGTGTTCACTGCTGAAATCTTCCTTTTAGACCTCTAGATATCATCTCATGCCAACTGTGTGTAGTTTAGCCAAATACGTAAACACAATGGTAAGAATTATTGAAATGGTTCTTATTTTTAGATTATTTAAGTTTCGAGTGTGTTGGGGTGTGTGCGTGTGTGTGTGTATGTTGGGGTGTGTGTGGGTGTGTGTGTGTGTGTGTGTGTGTGTGTGTCTGCATAGCCGACCCTTTTATTACAAAAAACCCTGCTGGCTCACCAGACACTGCCAATCCCTGTTTGTAAGTGCTAAACTAAAACAGGTGCCAGAAGGTTTCTCTAAATCATGTCCAAAGGCTGTAAATATTTAACTTGCATTAAGAAACCTGCCCTGGTGTTAACTTGTTTTATGCCTCTGGCATCCCATAAGATACTAACCAGGAAATCACAAAGAAATTAAAAGGTCACAAGTAAAAAGTAAATATCCAAAACAAGTTTAAAACATCGCTTCCCACAACAATACGACCATGCAATCGCCAGGGTTAGGCTGGAAAATGTGGCAGGTGGAAAACTGCATCAACATCACAAGTATACAGGGGTTGCAGGGTGCAGCCTTAAAGCACCATTGTTTTCTGCTCTCTATTATTAATCTCAGTAATACGGCAAGAATGCAGGATGCTTGGTCACAAAACAGACCATACGGTTGTACTAGCCTTCAAGGTAAAAGCTTGCCCTTGGCCAGGGCCGGACTGGGAAAAAAAATTTGGCCCGGGCATTTTTCAATCAGAGCGGCCTCCTAAGAAGGGGGCGGGGCCAGAGAGTGTGTGTTTTGTCATCACTAATGACAACACGCCCCCTCTCAAAGTGAGCATGTTGGTTCAATGCGCAGAGCCCTGCTGAAGAGCTCTGGCATTAGAAAAAGGCCCTGAATTTGTTCTGCGCAGAGGAAGCAAATGAAATAACATGCTTGCGCTGTGTTTGCTTTTAAATTGTCTCTGGTGTCTCCACAAGTGGGATACCAGAGGACAAAAGGTCCAGGAAAGTGCATGGTGCATATGTTTGGAGCCTGCTTGTGGGATTGTGTGTGTGTAGAGTGTGGTGTGGTAATGCATAAATAGGTCAATTTAATTTGTGTTTGTGGTGTAATATGTGTGGCTAGGGGCTGTAGAGAGTGTGTGTATAGGGGGCATAGTGTTATAGGGGATGTAGTGAGTGTGTGCATACGGGCTGTGTTTGCTGACAAGGAATGTAGTGTGTGTGTGTAGGAGATCTACTGTGTAAAGGACCCAGTGTGTGTGTGTGTGTGTGTGTGTGTGTGTGTGCTGTGTGTCTGGGGGGTGCTGTGTGTCTGGGGGTGCTGCTGTGTCTGTCTGGGGGTGCTGCTGTCTGTCTGGGGGTGCTCTGTCTGGGGTGCTGCTGTGTCTGTCTGGGGTGCTGCTGTGTCTGGGGTGGTGCTGTGTCTGTCTGGGGGTGCTGTGTGTGTCTGGGGTGCTGTGTCTGTGTCTGTCTGGGGGTGCTGTGTCTGTCTGGGGGTGCCTGTCTCTCGGGGTGCTGTGTCTCGGGGGTGCTGTGTCTCGGGGGTGCTGTGTGTGTCTGGGGGGTGCTGTGTGTGTCTGGGGCTGTGTCTGGGGGTGCTGTGTGTGTGTGTGAGTGAATGTATTTTTTATTTAAATTTACATATATTTTTTTTACTAATAAAAAAAAAAATAAAAAAATTATTTCCCCCCCTCCCTTCTTACCTTTATCCTGGGAGGGGGGGGGAGATCCGTTCTGCCATGGAGGGAGGGGAGCCGTTCTGCCATCCTTCCCTGGTGGTCCAGTGGTGAGAGTGAACTCTAACCTGCAGGTTAGAGTTCACTCTCGCGAGATCTGAGCGTTGCCGCGGCAACACTCAGAATCCCGCGAGAGGACCGGCGGAGCTGCTTGTTAGAGCTCTGCCAGGTCCTCTCTCCTCCCTCCCTCCCTCCCTCACCCAGCCGGCGGCCGCATCTCCATGCCTCTGGGCCGGTGAGGGAGATCTTTGATCTCCCCACCGGCCCATGGAGGCACACAGCAGGGCCGGCGCTCGGATAGCGCTGGCCCTGCAGGGGCCGGCCAGGGAGATCCCCTGCCGGCCTCGGCCCCACGGCCATCGTGGCCCACCGGGCATTTGCCCGGTATGCCCGATGGCCAGTCCGGGCCTGCCCTTGGCTGTAGCTGCGGGCTGTGATTGCAGACTATAACAGCACATAAACATTCTGTAATGCTTAAAGGACCACTCTAGGCACCCAGACCACTTCAGCTTAATGAAGTGGTCTGGGTGCCAGGTCCAGCTAGGATTAACCCTTTTTTCTATAAACATAGCAGTTTCAGAGAAACTGCTCTGTTTACACTAGGGTTAATCCAGCCTCTAGTGGCTGTCTCATTGAGTGGGGGCACCCTCAGGGCACTATGTTGCCAGGAAAAAGAGTATGTTTTCCTGGCACTATAGTGGTCCTTTAACACACACAGAAACAAACACCATACACACATACACAATTTGGGGATTCAGATACCTCCCAAGTGTCCCGATTTAGTAGGGACAGTCCCTTTTTGCACCAAATCCCTCTGTCCCTCATTTCTAGGCGCTCCATATTGCTGGTGTGCCCGAGTGTATAACAAAGCTCCACAGCAATAATATTCACAGTAATGTGTCTTTAAACTACAATAATGTGTTTAGAACTCAGTCTGTGTAAATAAGATACATTGTTCTTGTGCTACATAGTTCCATAAATTGTTATTAGTAAATCACCTAAGGTTTCTCAGAAACAGCCCTGCCCCTGGTCACACCCCCTCTTGCACTTCTAAAATTAAAGCATCCGCCTTTGTCCATATGGAACGTTGGGACATATTTGAACAGAGGAAAAAAGTGTATCTGATGACGAGCTTATGGACAGCTCTGAAGTACACTCGTCTTCCTTGAAAACGGCTTGCCTAGCCGAGAGCCTGTCAAATCCCATAATCTTGATGTACTTTTGAGAATTGTCCCGGAGATGCAGATGACAGCACTATAACCTGGAATGGATGGCAGTACACGCGTACAGTGCTGTGTGTTATTTACTTTCAGTCACTGTTCAAACTGTAAGCATTATCAATGTTGTAGTTCAGTTGGAAGCCAGAGCTCGGATTGCTTAAGGCATATAAAAATAAAATACTATTTATAAATTGCACACACAGTTCCATAAATGGAGCAGTTGCCTTGGGGACCACCAATGGTGTTCTCATCCTAATAAACTCCCCCTGGTACCAATAAAGTTACCTTTATATTTCATCTGGAGCCATAAGGTTTCTAATTTATAGAAGCCTTCTCTAACTTTATTCAAGACAAAAAACATAAAAAAGATTGGAAAACCTATGTTAAAGTTACTCTTAGAGGGATGCAGGTATCTGCTGCTCACAGGCATTGCAAAATGAAAGGGGGGAGACCAGGCCAGGATTTCTATGCAAGCCATTCATTAAAGGGACACTCCAGGCACCCAAACCACTTCTGCCCATTGGAGTGGTCTGGGTGACAACTCCCACTACCCTTAACCATGCAAGTGTAATTAGTTTTAATAAACTGCAGTAATTGCCTTGCAGTGTTAAGTCCTCCTCTAGTGGCTGTCTATCAGACAGCCACTAGAGGGATTTCTGGGTTCTTAAAACACGAAAGCACTGAATAAGGCTTTCCTAAGCATTATTCTAATTAGTCTAATGCCCATGCACCACAATGGCCGTGCGCACGCGCATTAGGTCTTCCCCGCCTACGGGGGAGGAGAGTGGCGGGCCTGAGCCAGTGCAGAGGGACATTGCAGCTGGATTCAGGTAAGTGTCTGAAGGGGTTTTATCCCCCTCAGCAACATGGGATGGGGGCACTGCAGGATTCTGCAGTGCCAGGAAAATGGATATGTTTTCCTGGCACTGGAGAGTCCCTCTAATTTAAATACAGGATCCAGTAAAATGCTCCTACTTCCTACCTGTAGCACAGCCTGAATAAAAACATTAAGATGACCAACAGGTCTTAGTTCTATCTACATTATACTTAACCCTTAAATTCCATTTGATAAGGATAAACGGTCTAGACGCTCCATGTTTGGGTAAAGTTGGGCATTGACTGCCCAGGGTCATACTTGGGTATCTGAGGTGGAATATGGAAGGCTAGATACATGAGTTATGAGGTGTATAAGCACGGTCATCATGAACTCCCGAATTATAAAGCTGGATTGTTGAGAGCTTCTCAAAGCTCCATGTACGAGTCCCACCCGTGTTCAACAGCATTTTAGGGAGTTCATACCCATGAGGAACATATGTTCTTGGGGTAGTGGTATTATTTTATCTCCGAACAAACGTACCCCATGCCAATCTCCATAATTTCCAATGTGAGTGATATGTTCTGGTTGCCCTCTCTATATTACCAGTTTGTGCTATTAAGCTAAGCAGCTCTGTTTGGGAAGATTAGGATATGGAGTGTGGACTAAAAGATATATGTTTTTTTTTGTTTGTTTGTTTTTTTACAGTTTTGTGTAAGACACAGACATGGCACCACTCTATGTATATATTTGTTTTAACAGTCTTAAAAACACATGAAGCACTGGTCATTGAGCTGCATTTGGAAGTCTGTGATTGGACAGCCACAAAAAGTCTGGGCGGGGTTGGAAGGGGAGGACTTGCAGAGGCTGCAGTCAAGAGATCTGCAGGTTTTGCAAGCGGATTCTCGATGTACCCCCAATAAAATAAAAAATTGCAAAATTAAATGGATGCTTTGGAGGTACGTCTACTAAACAGTGATTTTATTAATTTCTTTATTTGGACAGTGGAGTTCACCTTTAAAAGTATTTTTAAGAATGTTGTTAGTCTGGGGACAGTGAGATTCCAATCATGTAATTTTAATGCATTTTTCCTGAGTAAACATTGGACCCATCCAGTCCAGGGCACCGTGTTTTGTGTGGAGGAAATTTTTCAAACACAAAGTACTGGTACAAATATATTTTTATCCACATACTTGCTGGTAACTGTCACCAACAAATTGTACCTATGTCACTGTGAGCTTGTAATCTACATGTGTCTGCTTCAGAATATAGAATGTAAAAATATTCCACAATATAAAACTGTTCTCTATGGTACAGGGTTGGAAATGTATTTGTTGATCACACTGATTAACACAGGTTTCCTTCAAGAGGTTTACTCTTTCTAGTTTAAACAGGCCTCTGGATTTGGAAAAACATAAATAAAATAAATTATAAGTTTAGTTACCAAAAACTGAGCTCTAGATTTTTTATGTACGGACTTGAATATAAGCAATGGAGGCTCCGAAACAGACAGAATATACATTACACAGCTCTGAACTATGCTATAGTGATGTAATAACCATTTCCGTTTAAACAAAATGCCGCATTTTGACAGCCAAGCTTTTCAGGTTTGGCATGTAATTGGATACTCCTGAAAACCCTTTAATGAACTCTTAATTATTGTAAATCCTATAATTTGCCTCTCCTAAAACCTCTGGATACACATTCGCTATATAAACAGCCTTAAAGGAATACGCTCTAAAGAGTTACACATTCATTGACAAACACTGTCGTAAGCACATGTTTACTTAATTATATGTTTATTGAAATATTTTGGATAAAAATGGAAAGATTTTTTTTTCAGTAATAGATGAGGAGCCTGACACTGATACGGAATGGCAGACTGGGAGCACGAGGTCCGAAAACACAGGCAGAAAAATAGCAAAAGGTAAAAAGGGCAGTAGGGGATAGGAAAATGATCAGGGCTGGAAGCAGGTGTCAAACAAGAAGCACACAGTGAGATAACCGAGCCATTGCGAAAGAGAAAAAACAGGAGACTGGGGTCTAGAGCCGGACAATACAGGACAATCGTGTGATAGGATGAAAGACGTCGGGAACAAAGCTTCAAAGCAAGCAACGTCTCATACTTAGTACTTCTGCTGTAGGTTATCTAATGTGTAAATCAATGTGTCCACCATCAGTGTTCCAAGGCTCTCATTGATGCCCAAATTTGTATGTCTAATGGTTTTCCTTTATCCAAGGGGCACAGCCAGGCTAGTCACCAGGAGGGACACTCATTTTAGGGGAGTGAGTGCAGAGTAGCCATGGATGGGCTGTTCTGAGAGATTTTAGGTGACATTCTAATAATTTATGCAACTAAAATGTCATTTAAAACAAGTACAATGTATTTTATTTACACAGGCGGATTTATTAAACACATTGTAGTTTAAAGATACATTAGTGGGAGTATTATTGCTGTGGAGCTCTGTTATACACTCAGAAACACAAACAGAGCTCCTAGAAAAGAGGGACAGAGGAATTTGGGCCCAAAATAGGGACTGTCCTTCCTAACTTGGAATGTATGGCAGGTATTGACACAAGACCCAAAGATTCTTAGCAATAAGCTAATTTTAGAGCGAAGAGTGACCTATGAAATAAATATTATAGTCTACAAAAAAAAGGGACACTTTATAAAGAAATTTAGGATGTAAAACAAAAAAAACAAAAAACGCTTTAGGAGATATGCAGGTTAGGACATGTGCAATAAATTAATAAATATGGCACAGACATTTAAAGTAGGACTCGGCTAAGCATTGGAGTCAGGTAGCCATGGCTCTTAAAATGTATGAAGGTGACAGGAACAAAAGATGGGATCAGTATTCTCCATTTCACTATACATAATTAAATAAAAATAACCGGATGGCATTGGCAGGCACTGTGAAAACAGGCCAACTGCTTATCAGCCCCTGATTTAACCCTTGAGCTATACAGTTCCAGCAATATTGATACGTTTATGCAAAGATAGCTAGCCGCTTTTAAAAAAAAATGGAAACCCTCAAATATTTGCACATCAGGAGAACACGTAGACAATGTGTCACCATGAACTTGTTTGAAAGAGTATATTTAAAAAAATAAATAAATAAATAAATAAAAGTCTCGCTCTCTCTCTCTGTCACAATTTCAGATCAATATATGGCAGACAGCCGGACAGAGTGTATATTTCTCAACTTTTCCGACTACAATGTTTAAATCAGGTTTTTTTTTTTTTTTTACTTAAGTGAGAATTGTCAGGGATTCACAGTGAAGTTCAAATTTTAAGAAAAAAAAAAATAGATTTGCTAGAAAAACATAGCAGACTTTTAGAATTATTTCCAGTTCCGCTATTGCGGTCTAGAATATAAAATTAATTTACAGGGTTATTTAAATCCCAATGTCAAAACTTAGTTAGGACTATGGCTAAACTGTAGAATTTTTTTTCCCCATTCGGATTTCATTTGCAAAACTTCAGAGATTTATCGAAATTCCCGGTTTAGTTTTTTCATATTCACTACAAGGACATGCGCTCACCTTTGGCAGCTGATAGGTTAAATCAAGACTATAGAAGTTCTGAATTGTCTGTGTGCTTTATTTAGTTTCGCCTCCACCCCAAAGCTCTCTTACCACACTCAGTTCTGCGTAACTACAACCTGATGCGCTCGCTTTCCAATAAACACCTGAATAGCCATAACAATGGGCCACAGTGTCACGTTTCAAAACTAACCAACACCTGTCAGTAAAGCAGTCTGTCAGAGAGGATTCTGGGTAATTTAAATATAGTGGATTAACGCGTGTGTCCCTGAATAAACACAATACATTATTTTGTCATTTTAGGCTATAGGAGGTAGAAACGTGCAATGTTGAACTAATTATTAACAGAGTTAAAGCTTGAAGCGTAAAGTTTCAACACTTAGGCTAAAACAAATATCACAGTCACACAGACAGTACCAACATATTCGGCAGCGCAGTCAGTGCCGGATTAACATAGGGGCTGATGGAGCTGCAGCTCCAGGCCCAGTCCCATTGATTTTTTTTAAATTAAAAAAATATATATATATAAAAATAATTTTTATTTTTTTTATTTTATTTTTTTACACACACTACTATTAGGATTGCCAGGTATTTCTCATGTATTTCTTATGGCCACTGGTAGACATAGGGACACAGCGGAACATGGGGACCCTGAGACTCTAGGGACACAGTGGCCCCTAATCTCTGTGTCCCCATGTCTCCCAGCCAGTGTCCTCATGTCTCCCAGTGTCCCCATGTGTCCCTGGTGTCTCTCAGTGTCCCTAGTCTCTCAGTGTCCCCATGTCTCTCCCAGTGTCTCTAAGTTTCCCCTAGTGTCTTAGTGACATCGGGACACTGGGAGACATAGGGACACAGACTCTAAGGGACACTGGGAGACATGGTGATACAAATATTAGGGGACACTGGGCAACATGGGGACACTGAGACACTAGGGGGCACTGAGAGACATGAGGACACTGGGTGACTGAGAGCCCTGGGAGACATGGGGCACTCTCCCCTCTCCCTCCCCCCCTATGTCTCTCCCCTCTCCCTCCCCCCCTCTCCTCCCTCCCTCCCCTCCCCTCTATGTTCTCCCTCTCCCTCCCTCCCTATGTTCTCCCCTCTCCCTCCCTCCCTATGTCTCTCCCTCTCCCTCCCTCCCCTATGTTCTCTCTCCTCCCTCCTTTCCCTGTGTCCTCCCCCTCTCCCCTTCCTGTGTTCTCCCTATCACTCCCCTCCCTATTCCCTGTGCCTCTCCTCTCTTCTATTCCTTCTCTCTCTCTTTTATTCTCTCTACCCCCCCTTCCCTATCTCTCCCCTTCCAGTCTGGAATCTCGGCCTGGAATGCCCCCTGCCTTCTCTAAGGTAAATTGGGGGCAGGCCGGCCGCATTCCAGCTGGAGCCGCCGGGCCGGGTGGCAGCTTCGTCGGTCCGGCGGCACTCCAGTCACTGGCTGCTGATGGAGGAGGAGCCTGTCTACCATGCTCTCTCGCGGTGGAACCGCGAAGGAGCATGGTAGACAGGCTCCTCCTCCATCAGCAGCCAGTGACTGGAGTGCCGCCGGACCGGCGAAGCTGCCACCCGGCCCGGCGGCTCTAGTCTGGAACGCGGCCGGCCCCCTCTCAGTGTGCCACTGGACCGGCCACCCGGTGGCACATATGTGCCCTCGCAGCCCCCAGGTGCCGTGGCCCACCGGGAAATTTCCCGGTATCACAGTGGGCCAGTCCGGCACTGATCACAGCCCGGACATCAGAATATCAGACATCCCACGGCACACCAGGCAACATCGAAACAGTGGTTGAAAAACACTGCCCTATGTATCACAGTGTCTCAGTGCCCCATGTCTCCCAGTGTCCTCTCATGTCTCAAAGTTACCCAGTGTCCCCATGTCTCCCAGTTTCCCCAACAGTCTCAGTGTCCCCAGGTCTCTTGGTGTCCCAATGTCTCTCAATGTCCCCTAGTAACACAGGGACACTGGGAGACATGGGGACACAGACACTAAGGGACTGGGAGACATGGGGACACAGACATGCCCCCTTTTTGTGTATGTTCGCCCCTTTTGGCAGTTCTGGTTATGTGATTTGTGTCAGTGGCCCACCATTTTGCCCCATCCATAGACTTCCTGCTTTACTGGACACTGCTTTTAGGGGGTATGGGTTTACTTGGAAGATGAAAGCGTAGGTATGTGTTTTCTCATAGCTGCATCCTATGAGTTTCCCTCCAGCACCATCTCTATTATATACATGACGCTTAGGAAGTAGGACTGTTTTAGTATTTTTGGTCAATAAAATTTTGGAACTAGGCCCATCATAATTGTCAGCACCAGGCCCACTGGGCTCTTAATCTGGCCCGGAGCGCAGTTGAAAAAACAAAACAAGTATATAGTGACAAAGTTTAGTAGAATACGAAAACCAATCCATGTATGATATTACATACATACATACATATATACATATATATATATATATATATATATATATATATTGTGATCCTTGTTTGCAGGTAGCACGGTCCTCTAGGGCAAAAACATGCACAGTCCTTGTAATTGCAAATACTCCAGGCACTTTATTTGTAAGTTCACACAGGATACAGCAGTAAATGAAACAAATGTAACAGAAAACCCTATAAACAAAAACCTGGCTCGTCTGAGCACTAACTGACATTAGGTTCCCTATCTCTCAGGGTTAAACTAAACAAAACAATAGTGGTTTCACCAACCTAGAGTCTTTGTCCACTCTCAGCACTCCAGTATTTAGCCAGCCTGCTGCTTCCAGCCTTTCAGAGAGAAACAAAACATTCTCTCCTTACCTGCCTAGCAGGGAGGGATTTATTCCCACTGCTGCAGCCGATTACCTACAGCTGAGCAGTAGGTTGGAGACAGTCCAAAACCCTGGGCTGGATCTAAGTCTTCCAAGAAAACCGCTAAACTGCGGAGTGGAGCACTGGCCCACCCTGCTCTCCAAATGCTCCACCCCAGGGGCCCATAACTAAATATTCATTCTGGTTACATACACAGAAACATACACTCCCCCTGGGGTTAAAAATCATATGCCTCTCTGAACAATTCTGTCGAGATATAGACTCCCTCACAGACCACCCCATTCACCTTATCACATATCCCCCTCCCCAGCTCAGACCCATCGGGGCGAGCGGCCTGGGACCATAAACAGTGAACTCGGGAGAGGCCATCCGCATTACCTTGGGCAGTTCCGGCCCTGTGAGCAATAGTAAACTGGTAAGGCTGAAGACTTAGGAACCATCTAGTCACCCTGGCATTCTTTTCTTTGTTATGCCTCATCCATGTTAAAGGAGCATGGTCCGTGATCAGTGTAAAACATCTCCCCAGTAAGTAATATCTCAGGGATTCTAAAGCCCATTTTATCGCCAGGCATTCCTTTTCCACTACTGAGTACCTCTGTTCACGGGGATTCATTTTCCGGCTCAGATACATGACAGGATGTTCCTCTCCTTCATGTACCTGGGACAGAACCGCGCCAAGGCCCACATCAGACGCATCGGTCTGTACCACAAATGGTTTAGTGAAATCTGGAGCCACCAAAACAGGGTCAGCACACAAGGCTCCCTTCAAGACTTGAAAGGCATGCTCCGCTTCCGGGGTCCACTTAACCATAATCGGGCCTTTTGCCTTAGTAAGTTCAGTCAATGGGTTGGCAATGGTAGCGTACCCAGGGATGAACCTACGATAGTAACCGGTTAAGCCTAAAAGAGCCCTGACTTGCTTTTTAGTTACAGGACGTGGCCAACTGGTGATGGCTGCTACTTTGCTCTCTTGTGGTTTAAGGAGCCCCCGCCCGATAGTGTACCCCAGATATTTTGCTTCTTCTAGCCCTAAAGAACACTTAGCAGGGTTAGCTGTCAAACCGGCAGCCCTTATACTATCCACAACTGCCTGAACCTTCATCAAGTGGGTTTCCCAGTCCGCACTGTGAATCACCACATCATCCAGGTAGGCGGCTGCATACTGTCTGTGGGGGTGAAGTATCTTATCCATCATACGCTGAAACGTTGCTGGGGCACCATGCAACCCAAATGGCAGCACTTTATATTGGAACAACCCATCAGGGGTAGAAAACGCGGTTTTCTCTTTTGCTTTCTCTGTCAGGGGTACCTGCCAGTATCCCTTGGTGAGGTCCAAGGTGCTCAGATATCTGGCCTTACCTAATCGCTCTATTAGCTCATCCACACGAGGCATCGGGTAGGCATCAAACTTAGAGATATCATTTAGCTTACGGAAATCATTACAGAAACGGATTTCCCCATTTGGTTTGGGCACTAACACAATTGGGTTGTTCCACTCACTTTGTGATACTTCAATCACCCCCAACTCAAGCATCTTTTTAACCTCTGCACTAACCGCTTCACGTCTAGCCTCAGGTATCCTGTAGGGCTTCAGATTGATCTTCTTCCCAGGTTCAGTTAGGATATCATGCTTGATTATATGCGTTTTTCCTGGTATTGGGGAAAACACATCCCTATTTTTAGACACAAACTCCCTGACTTCCTGTTTCTGATGGGGGGCAAGAGTATCAGCGACATGCACCTCCGGACCCTGCTCACGAGTGGCTTGAGTAGGTTTATCTCTGGTCACGATGAGAACCTCTCGTTCTACCCATGGCTTCAATAAATTTATATGATATGTCTGTTCTGGCTTCCGTCTGCCTGGCTGTCTTACTTTGTAGTTCACGTCACTGATCCGCTCAGTGATTTCATATGGCCCTTGCCAGCTGGCTAAGAATTTGCTTTCTACCGTGGGAACAAGAACTAGAACCCTATCACCTGGTTTGAAGACCCGTAGCCTTGCGTTCCGGTTATAGCTTGCTTGTTGGGCTCTCTGGGCCTTTTCCATGTTTTCCCTAACTATGGGAATTACCGCTTCGATCCGCTCTTGCATTTGCGCTACATGCTCTATAAGACTGTGATGGGGGGTTTGCTCTTGTTCCCATGTTTCCTTGGCAACATCCAGTATGCCTCTTGGATGCCTACCATACATTAACTCGAAAGGTGAGAACCCTGTGGAAGCTTGCGGGACTTCTCTAATAGAAAACATCAGGTAGGGTATGAGATAATCCCAATTTTTTCCATCCTTGTCCATCACCTTCCGCAGCATAGCCTTTAGAGTTTTATTAAACCTCTCCACTAATCCATCAGTTTGCGGATGGTATACCAAGGTTTTCAGCTGCTTGATTCTGAGCAATTTGCACAAATCACGCATGATTTTTGACATAAAAGGGGTTCCCTGATCTGTGAGAATTTCCTTAGGTATACCCATCCTGCTAAACATCATCAGTAACTCCCTTGCAACATTTTTAGAGGTGGCATTCCGTAGAGGTACTGCCTCTGGATACCGTGTTGCATAATCCACAACAACTAAAATGTACTGATGTCCTCTTGCGGACCTAGGCAACGGCCCTATCAGGTCCATTGCTATTCTTTCGAATGGAACCTCTATGATGGGAAGGGGTACCAATGGACTACGGAAGCCCTTATGCGGAGCTTTCAGTTGGCATTCTGGGCAGGATTTACAAAACCTCTCTATTGCCGAAAATACCCCTGGCCAATAGAATCGGGTCAGAATTCGTTCCCTCGTTTTTTCAAAACCAAGGTGCCCACCTAACACATGGCTATGGGCTAGTTTTAAAACAGTGTTTCGGTGAGATTGGGGAACTAACAACTGTTCTGCCTCCTCTTCCCCCTTTTTCCTCTACTCGATACAGCAGATTATTTTCACCATGAAATAAGGAAAGCTCAAGGGCTTGTCAGGGTCCGTCCTTGTACCCTCCACTATTTGCACATTCTCTCTTGCAGCTGTCAAGGACTTATCTTCCCATTGGGCTGCTCGGAAGTTACCAGGGGGGACTCTGAGATCCTGAAACTCCACTTCTTCGATAGGGTCTTCAGTATGGGGAGGTTCTACCTCATTACCCAGGCACACCAAGGGTGTCTCTTGCTCGTCACATTCTAAATCGGAGAAAGGAAAAATATTTTCTATACACTCTCCTCAGAGCGCATTTTTGGATGAGCAGAGCACTTTTCCCATAGGCGGCAGAAATGGGGAAAGTCCCTCCCTAATACCACATCATACGGTAATAGGGGCACTACCCCTACAGAGCATTTAACCTCCCCTACCTTGGTGCCAAACACAACCTCTGCCGTGGGGTATGTGTGGGTGTCACCATGTATACACACAATATCAATCACTTGTTTGGTGTCTAATTTCCCTGGCTGGAGCAGAAAACTTTTTATCAAGGTAACCTCACTCCCTGAATCAATTAGAGCTTGTACATTCTTTCCTTCCACCCTCACCATTATTAAATGCGTTGCATTAATAGCACTAGTCACCACACACATCTTTGAGCAAGTCAATACAGTCCTATGCAGAGCCCTTGTCCCTACATCACACTGCATGGGCTCTTCATTCTCTGGACAGCTGCGTGCAAAATGTCCAGGCTCATGGCATTTAAAGCACTGGAGTTGTCCCTCAGCGTGGTCTTGTAGCCGTAATGGAGCTGGTGGGGACCTTCTGCCACCCCGGTCATATGGTTCAAGGTTCGGTACAAAGTTTTGTCTTTTGTTTCCCACTTTCCCGCTTATCCGGTTGTTAGCCGGTCGGGACTTCTGATGAGGATCAATACTGTATGGCTCTTTGGCAACCAAATACCTCTCAATCAGGCACATCATTGCTTCTGGATCCTGAGGGTCCCCTTGGCAGACCCATTGTCGCAGTCCTGTTGGCAGGTGTCTGAGAAAACGGTCCATCACAACCATTTCCACTATCTTGGTAGCAGGGTTGCGCTCTGGCTCCAGCCACTTCTGAGCGAGCCTGAGCAATCCATACATCTGGGCTCTGGTAGGTTTACTCACATCGTATGCCCAATTATTAAATCTGTGGGCTCGCTTGGCAGGTGAGAGGTAGCGGGATCGATGCCCGCATTCTCCACCATATTGTGATCCTTGTTTGCAGGTAGCACGGTCCTCTAGGGCAAAAACATGCACAGTCCTTGTAATTGCAAATACTCCAGGCACTTTATTTGTAAGTTCACACAGGATACAGCAGTAAATGAAACAAATGTAACAGAAAACCCTATAAACAAAAACCTGGCTCATCTGAGCACTAACTGACATTAGGTTCCCTATCTCTCAGGGTTAAACTAAACAAAACAATAGTGGTTTCACCAACCTAGAGTCTTTGTCCACTCTCAGCACTCCAGTATTTAGCCAGCCTGCTGCTTCCAGCCTTTCAGAGAGAAACAAAACATTCTCCCTTACCTGCCTAGCAGGGAGGGATTTATTCCCACTGCTGCAGCCGATTACCTACAGCTGAGCAGTAGGTTGGAGACAGTCCAAAACCCTGGGCTGGATCTAAGTCTTCCAAGAAAACCGCTAAACTGCGGAGTGGAGCACTGGCCCACCCTGCTCTCCAAATGCTCCACCCCAGGGGCCCATAACTAAATATTCATTCTGGTTACATACACAGAAACATACACTCCCCCTGGGGTTAAAAATCATATGCCTCTCTGAACAATTCTGTCGAGATATAGACTCCCTCACAGACCACCCCATTCACCTTATCACAATATATATTTGTAAAAAAAATAAAATAAAAAAATTGTATGTGTAAGGTAGTTAAGCTGGAGTTATAAAAGTTAAGCAGGAGAATTTTTCCAATTCTGCTAATTTAGGCTAAAATTTGTCATTTCAACAGTCCCTGGCCATTTAGCAACAAGTTCCATGTGTCTAACAGGTGGCTTACAACAGCCACCAACACGTGACAAGCAGACATGCATAATGATTCGATGATATACAATCGTTTTTTCTCCTTCAACAGAGCCCTCGGTTATATGATCACCTGCAATGTAGTTCTTTCTTCTATACTTTTATATTGGAGTCTAGGGGAGTGTGAATTATAACCTGTCTGTAGCCAAATATCATCGTTTATTCACAAAAACAAACATTGCGGATAGTTTGCAACCGAACCACAGCTGGAGAGTTTTCAGAAATATCAGCTTAACATTTGCCATTCTCTAGTCAATTCTCTATAGATTATAATTTCCGTGACTAGCTCATCTATTTTTCTTACTTTATGCTGATGTGTGTCTAACACAGACCAGTATGCAATAAGAAATGACAGACATTGATTCTGACATTCCTACGTTTGAAATGACAGTCTTGCTTTGCCACTCCCTCAGTCCAATTGTCCTGTGTTTTATTTATTTATTTATTTTTAAATTTCTTTGAGACAGTTTAGAAAATTACAAAAAACAGTAAGGCAAGGATTTATGAACCTGTCCTAGATTTAGAACATGTGCACAATGGGTTATAGAGAGCCTGTGCTTATGCAAGAATTAAAGTTACACCACTCACCACTAAGTGGCATGGTCCCTTTAAAGCTCCAGGAGGCCCACCGCCATGTTGGAGAGAAATGGTGTTTATTGCCCTGTTGAGTGGCAGAAAAATAGAAGTTGATTGACAGGCCACCCAATTAATCTGGATTCCACGCTTAAGATAAATTGAAAGGCAAGTGGTTGCCTTAATTTGTAAAAGGGGAATTGGTCAAAAACCATAGGTCTTTTATAAATTGTAGATATGCCATTACTAAAACAAAAAAATCATGACCTAAAATGTACTCCTATTCAGAATCTAGACACTAGAGTACAAACAGGTTGACTGTTCGTCTCTGTAAGATAAGCTTCATTAATGTTTGAAAGAGAGGTCCCTTTAAGTCAGACTCCTAAATATTTCAATACCCACCGTCTGCAACTCACCAGCTATTATTTGTCTGAAGTTAATAAAAGGAATTGCTTTTTTTCTCCCTCTGTTATTGCTGGGTTGAAAATTTAGTCCAGCAGGTAAATTTAAACATCCACAAACATTAACACAAAAAAAATAAAATAAAATAAAAAACAGTTTGTTATGCCTTTCATAGAAAGAACCACTTTTTGTGTGGTTTGTTATTTTCCCAGTTGTCTTGGACTAATGAGATAGCAGTGTCGTAGTTTGTGTAGAGCTCCTGACCCCTTTATTGAATGTCCGTCACTATTCCTTAAGGGAGGCACCTATGCTTTCCTTCCTAACTGACAGAAGCAGTTGTAACTAAAGTTCTTATATTAGGTTTGTGTAAAAACATGAGTTTCATACAAATAGGTGCATTGGGTAAAGCTGCTCACTAAAGCACTACCTGATTAGCCTAAATCTCTGTACACTACTGTGACGGAACGCTGGCACTCTGACCGAGTACCTCCGCCAATCGATGCTCCTAGCGCTTGCCGAGGACTCCAACTGACAGCATCAGCACTGCAGACCCCACTTCCAGCGATGCAGCTTTGCTGGGGTCTCGCTGTCTTTCTCCCACCCTGGATCCAAGGCCAGGATCCAGTTTCCAATGGGCAGGCCTCCAGAGAGCGTAGCAGGAACAAGAACAGCTCTTACAAGAGCTTATCCTGGGGAGTATAGTATGATTATAGCAATCCCCAGAGTGTAGTTATCCCATCCCCAAGCATGAGCCAAGGCTTCAAGAAAGGGTCAAGCAGTTTTGTGTGCATTAAATAGAAGGACTTTCTTTTATACAAGTTTTTACACACACAGTATCACCCACATGGTCTTGTGGAACAGCCAATCAAACATTACAATACAGTCAAACACTCCCATTCATTCCAGCAAAAATCCTCCCCTCTGCCCATGATACAATTACTGAACATAATGGGCTAACGTAATTATCATAGGCAGGAAAATACACAGTTTTACACAATATTCATAACGTATACATCACATTCACATAAAAAAAAACAAAAAACAACTTACATTTTCAGAATCAGCATACTCCAAATTCAGACAATTCCCTCCAGTGGTTTAAAAGTTAGGTGCAAGCCCTTTTTGACCGACTGCAAGCATGGCTTGGGTGTGGTAAGCCAATTATCTCCAGGTACAGAAAATTCTCTATTCACAACAACAGCAAAAATACATAATTCCTATCATACTGAACAGAACCCCCACATTCAACCTATCCTCAGATAGCTTGGACCTGGTCGCTCAATATATCCGAACAGCTCTCAGATTACACAAACACAGTCAAATCGCCATGGGGTTTAAGTTTAGCAAGGGCTGATATAGAGATTGAGGAGGGGCAAAGCAGCCAGCTTAAACTGGTCTGGCAGTGCCCCTGGGACAACGCCCTGCTGGAGAACAATGGGACAGGAAAAGGCACATTCTCCCATGGAATCAAAGGTGCAGAATTGTGCCAGTTCCAATTAAAGGGCTAGAACAGTCTTTTAAATACCAATAAGTCCAAATAGTGTTTTTAACTGGCAAAGTCTCCCAGGGGCCATAGTCACATGGCAAGAGGCTGGCAATTAGTCCTCTTCAGGCACAAGTGGTGAAGTGCACTTCGTCACAACTACTAACTTGCACTGCTCCGGAAACTCTCAGGGTTATGTACTAAATGGAGAATTTAAATTTCACATTTCAAGCCAAAATAGCTGAACTGAAAGGATAGCTGACTTACAGGGTTATTCAATAAAGTGGAAAGTGAATTTCAAAATATCCAAACTAGCCTCACTCTTTCCCACCCTCCCGGTGTTTCTTGGTACAGTGTTGCTGGTTTCTGTTCGTGGTTCTGGTTTTATTTTCTCATTGTCACAGCTCCGGCGGTGCTCCTGGCCAGCGAAATGGAAAGTGATGGGAAACGATGAGTCGGCTTGGGGAGTCGCAGCCTGCCGTGGGCTGATGGCGGTAGGCAGGCTGATACGAACTCTGGACAAGGAAGTGGTACCTGTCTGTTGGGGGAAGTTACCCAACAGCTGACAGTTGGATAGAATGCTGGTCCGTTGAAAAGTTGTAAAATTAATAAAGCAGTTGCCATTGCCCTTACCCATATTTCTGGTCTCATGTGTTTTTGTTGAGGGCAACGGGGGAGAGGATTGGTCAGCAGTCAAGTAGATAAACTGTTTTCAGGACATAGACAGGGTTTTTCATTAAAAATTCATAGTGAATTCTAAGAAAATTTAAAATTTAAGGCCAGAGTTACTGAACCAAACAGAATACATGACTTAGAGAATGTTTCCAGTTTATCAATTTTGACCTTAGATTTGTGCTATCCTGATGCCTTAAAGGGACACTAGGCATGTAAACACTTTATATCGCTGAAGTGGTTACAGTGTCTGGCGTCCCCTGTCATTGTCTTTCCATTCAGCGCTAAATAATTTTTAATAGCTTAATGCTAAACAAGCATCTGCTATAGCTGGCCCTTTCTGTGCTGCGTGGGCTAATGAGGAAGCATTAGCACGAGCACCAATGGCTGTGATTGGCTGAGAGTGTCAGCCATTAATTGCACTCTTCCTTATCCATGCTAATTGATTTTAGCAATCTTTGCTTTAGCCATACCTCCAGTTGGGGCTGGGCAGTGGATGGTTAGGGGCCCTTATTCAGTGTTAAACTGCTCAACACTGTTTAACATTTAATGGTGGGACAAGGCTAGGGGGGCACTAAGCAATGTGAGACTTGTTATAGTGCCTACCTAGAGTATCTCTTTAAGATGCAGGAATGCTGCATATCATATAGCTTTCAATCAGAGAGGACCAGGAACACTTTCAGAAGTCATTACAACCTGGTTTCCATGGTTTCGCAGGACCTGATTTAAAGGAACGCCAAGTATCAAAACAACTTTAGTTTAATTAGGCAGTTTTGGTGTATAGATCATGTCCCTGCAGCCTCACTGCTTAATTCTCTGTCATTTAAGAGTTAAATTACTTTTGTTTCTGTAGCCCAAACAATACCTCCCCTGTCTGTAACTCATACAGCCTCCATAAAAATAAAAAAGTATTTTCATCAGATCTTACAGGACAGAGTGTTTAATTTAGAAATTTTAATGCTTCCATTGTCCCTTTAACATACCTCCAAGTGCCCCTATTTAGGAAGGACAGTCCATATTTTGGACCCAAATCCATCTATCCCTCTTTTCAAGGAGCTCCATGTTGTTGCTGTGTCTGAGTGTTTAACAGAGTTCCACATCAATAATAAATACGTTTGTAGACCTCAATAAATAAGATACATTGTTCTTGTTGTAAATTACATTTAAATTGCAAAAATTGTTATTAGTAAGTCACCTAAGAGTTCTGCAACTGGTCTCGCCCCCACTCACACCCCTAAATAAAAATAAATTAAAAAAAAGTGTTCCTCTTTGTCCATCTGAAATCTTGGAAGGTGTGCAAATTTAAAATACAATGTTTACTCCATGATGATAGCAGACCTGTTTAGGCAGTTACATAACCATATTGGCCTCATCATGTGATGTGGCATAATGTGTTTATTTGTATATTAATGACTTCAAAGTACACAGAAGTTTGTCGCTGTTAAAGAGGCCATATAATAGGTTGCAGAGTAAGTGTGCCAAACAATGCGGACAGCACTGAGAGGATTTTCTATTCTGTAAAGATTAAACATCAACTGGTATCAGAATAAAAGGGTTTTCTGGTAGAAACTCATGCAAATCTACTTGTTATGATAAGTACACAAGGTGTGTATGTTACACTTACAGCCACTACATTCTGCAATACAACATTTCACAGAGCAAAGATTGCTTTTGTCAAATTATGAATGTAAGTTTAGACTACAGAAATCTTTATGCAGGGAAAATATTTTTTTTTTTTGCTTGTTCCCCCCCCACACACATACATAAAAGGGGATATATATTTATGGTCGGAAACACAATAGTAGTATGTATCAATTAGTGGTGGTGATAAGACGGTAGGCCTGTAAAGGTGCGAGGTGGGTGGGATGACCTGAAATAGAACGGCCAAAGTAAGAGGGGGGATATTTTTATAGGACAAACTCCTCCCATTAATATAGGCCTTTGGCCTTGACCAACATTCTGTATATATAAATATAAATATAATGTGTTTATGTAAAATGCCCCTTGGTTGAACCAAGGTGCCCTATAAATGTTCTTAGTATACACAATGCCAATGAAATTATTTAAAAACTATACAAATACAAGACCTGACTAATACGACGATTCTTATTTTGGGTATTTATAAAAGCACCATGTTTTGAAATCTTTGGGATTGCTCCACAGGCGGGTATCAGATTAAAATATGCTTCTGCTCAGGATGACATAGCCTTTTAAAAAGGGACAACCTAGGCCGCATAACTGTTTCATCTTGCGGAAGTAGTTATGGTGCCATGCTGTATTTTGTCCTGGTTCTCGTACCAAAATCAGTCGGAACATCAGTGCTGATGTGGAGGTCCTTACAGTGTCCCTCGCGTGCCCAGCATCATTCATCACAGTGACATGTCACTCTCTGGACTTGCAAGAGCTCTTTTCCATGATGCAGTGCCTGAAAGGTCCTTAATGTCAGCACACCGTGCGTTCGCAGACAAGGAAGTGCAATTTCCATCTCTTTGACTGACAGGACTTGTATGCGGAACTACGAGCTCAGCTTTAAAGCTCTGCATTGAAAAGTTTGCTAAATTACTTCTATGAAAGACTAAATAGATGTTATCCTGACACCATAACCACCTCAATAAGCTGTGTTGGTTCTGGGGCCAAACATGTCCCTTTAAATATGAATGCTGAAGAATGAGAGTGGGTTTTGGATTACTACATGCTATAAACTAGTGGGGTGGGGTGTGTGTTGTGTGTATATTTTTTAGGAAACCAAACTTAGACAAAGGGTAAGACATGAACAACAAGGACAGAAAAATCTTAGAAAAGATGGAAGAAAAAGAAAATTTAGAGCCCTAAATACTTGCAACCCTTGACTGCCTTTTTAATGAATGTCTCCAGTGAAAATGCAAGCTAATTTATAAACCCTTATGCACTTCACATTCAGGGAATGCAATTTATATTCCAAACAGCCTTATTTTGTAATGCCAATTGTATTAGTAAATAGGTTCTTATGAATATGCTTCCAATTGTATTCGTAAATAGGTTCTTATGAATATTGATGATAACCAAAAAAAATAAATAACTGCACCCGTGTTAAACCTATAATCTACAGATTTATCATCTCACTTTGTTGTCTCAGACACACAATCAACCTAACATGCATTGAACAAAACGTATGAACTGCACTTACACGTCCTTTTAATTGTTAACTATTGTATTTTGTATCCTTGAAGGCATTTAAAGATTGGTTTGGGTTCGACATTAAATTAGAACATATCGGACCTTTAATAAGAGCGGATGGCATTTTACACTGTCTATAGTTAGAGGCCGAAACTATAGATTTTGCCTTCATCGATAAGTTTGTCAACTCACAGCATGACTCCTTCTCCAACACCTCTCCCTGAGTCACAGGAATTCCTGTTTCTAGAATTTTACCCTTTCGCACCCAGCGTTAAATGCATGAATCAAACAGCCAAGAATACAACTGTGAGGTTCTCAGCCATGAATCGAGAACAAGCAGAAAATAAAAGATTGTTGACATTGCACCGCTCCAACAAGCATGGCAAACACACACTTACATAGATCCTTCCTCAACAAAATGTGTTAAAAGGAGAGCGTGACTTGTAAACAGAAATGTTACATTAGGTGGGGATCAAAGTAGATGGTCATGGACTGAACTGGGAACTTGTGTTAACCCACTGAGTGCTGATTAATTACACCCTGGCATTTAAATAAGTGAACGCAGACAAGGAGATATATATCACTCACTATCTATCCATCTATAAACAAAGCAAGAATATTTACCACTTCTTAATGCCAGCCCACCCCACCCCACAACATTCTAAATTTCAGCAGGACAGTCCTAATTTCAATGTCTTGTTCCACCATCCCGATTTTGTACCCTGGTGTCCTGCATTCAGTGACACCAGATTGTCATCAGGGCAGCACATCATGCTCGCAATGTAAATAGCACTAGGATCCTGCAGAGAGCCCTTCAGCAGCACTCTCTGAGTGGTCGTGTAGGTTGGGGGTCAGGCAGACCCCTCCAGTAAGCGGCCTGCCCCTTTATGTAGGTGGGCCCATCCATTACGTTAGAAGGCATGCCTAAAGACATGATTATTGATATTATTCACTAAAGAAAAAAGTTTTGGGAACATTGCAGAACAAAATACACAAATTCTATAGTGATTACCGTGTAGTAAATACTACCAATTATGCTCAACTGAAGATAATCAACACTTACATTTAGTCTGCAAAAGGATGAACTGGTGAAAATTTAAAGTGAATTTCAAATGTTAGGCCAGAACAGACAAACTAAAAACAGCGGATTTGGAAGTTTGGTTATTTTTGGCCTAAAAGTAAAATTCCTGAAAACTCATCTAAGTGAATATGCCTCAAAGTAGCATTCTATCCAAATATCCATCCATTTTCTGAAGAAAAACAAACAGTCATTGTGACCTCGCTTGTGCTTTTCAGAGTATTACTATTGTATACAACAGACCATCCTGTCTGCAATGACAACCTCGGTTCATAGTTTTATGAAATTCTACTCTTAACTAAAGACACAGCAAATCCCAGATGAGCAGGTCAGCCTCTGTGGGCCTCGTCAGGAAGAGGTATCTGACAGGTCTCCAAACACGGTGAGCTCAAGCTCATCACCTGGAATTCTGCTTTGGCCCTTAGGGAGGCAACACTAAGGTCATTTCAATGCAGCTATAAAAAAAAAAAAAAAATTGAAAACACACTCAAATAAAAGTATCCAACAATCAATTGTCTGCTCTACGTGTTACGAGGCATTTAGGGTGCCGTTTCAATTTAGCACTTTTTTGGCCTACACCGACCTTATTCTTAAAATCTCCTTTATTTTCATCCCATGGGACGGTCATGGCAAACTAACTGTATTTATTGAACGTATAACATTGAAGCCCGCGGAAACCGATTTGATTTATGTCTTGTTCGTGGCAGTTTTGCTCTCTGTCTACAAGAACGTGCCTGAAGAAGACAAATTGTCAGGAGCAAGGTGTGCAAGTTTGTATCTAATTGAGAGTACTGGGGATTCATTATCTCACTGTATTCCCTGCGATTTACTGTAGCTTATTTATCCTCGTGTCTGATTGGCAGGAAGCTGTCAGAACATCGTTGCTCGGAAGCTGGAGACAGGTGAATGTGACCCAGGTTACACGTTCTAACAATATCATTATAGTTTGTTCCCGTTCACAGGACAAGTAACGGCAGACATATAGACAGTTCTCAGAATAGAATGGAGCTAGATAAAACAGAAACTCTACATGGTAGTCGTGTTATCGGCTCACCAGATGTTTGTGAACTGCATTTGCCGTGATCCTCAGTCAGCCTTTTACCAGTTTCATAACCCCTTAAGGACACATGGCATGTGTGACATGTCATGATTCCCTTTTATTCCAGAAGTTTGGTCCTTAAGGGGTTAAATAAACTGGAAATTTAACCATCCTAGGCAGCTGCCCAATGAGGTATCAACCCTGGAACATATACTGTAACTTATAGTACATAGATTTTTAAAAAAAAATAAAGTATTTATAAAAAAAAAAAAACAAAGCAAAAAAAAAACAAAAAACACACAACACAATTTTATTTAGCTATTTGGTTCTTCCAAAACATCACAAGTAACATTATTTTTAATGATGTTGAAGTGTTTGGCCTCAGGACCCACGTGAAGAACTCTTCAAATATGTTACTAGCAACAGTTGCCTTTTAGTGTGCTTACAAAAGAACACAAAAAATAAAATAAAAATCATTAACTGAATGGAAAACATGATAACAATAATATGAAGGTACAGGATGGATACAATGACATTTTCCTTTTGTTTTCAAGTACGTCCTGGGGTATTACCCAACTCAATATTATGCAACGTATTGATTTTTTTTTTTGATTTTTTTTAAATAACCATAACATTTAAAGTGATCCTGTCATATGAGGTTCACGGTCACCAAGTGATATATTTCTATGCTTTTAGATCTCTTACAGTTGTACCTACATGCTACCCTTGCTCCAGCGCCGCCATTTGTCTGTGGTGGTTAAATTGTTTTAACACTCACCCTACCTGCCGCCAGCTCTCTGAAACAGTTGGCGATGCTTGAGGATACTTCTCAAAGCATGGCAACCCTCTCTGATCATGCCAAATTATTGACTTCACTGCCAGCACACTGACATTAGAACGTCATATACTCCGGTTCACGTACAAAATAAATACTTGCCTGAGAGTAACCTAGCACCACGGTCAGAGCACCGCCTGTAGGGGGCTCTCTTGTTCGCCCTGTCACTCAGTCCTGTACGATTGAATTGATAACTTATTTGATAACCCCCAATAGCCATGCACACCATAATAAAGGGTCAAGCTGTCTCCCTATCTCCTCTCTCGGTCTCTTTGGGCAATTGTGTGTGTTTGAATTAGTTTGTTATGTTTTTTTTTTTTAAATAAGTATATTAAAAAAAAGCCCCGGACTCACCGCCAAGAAACGCTACTATAGTCTCAGATTAAGTATTTTTTTTAGTAGAACTTAGATGATATACGTTAGGGTGTCTGTGAGAGTAATATTTCCTTGTATGTGGTTACAGTTGGCCAAGCATCATGGTAGTTATAAGTTTATGAGAGCAGGGGGTCTATTTTCTAATCTAAATGGTTTAAGAGCCATCCTTAGGAATCCCAATCAGTGTAGGTTCTCTTGATCTGCTCAGACACACAGGAAATTGAAGAGTATTTTAAAATTAAATAACTGAGACGGACAGCAATAGCCACACCTGCCTTGCGAATAATCCTAAAATTATCGCACATGGTGCAAAGAAAATCTTCTAAATCTGTCTGAACAATACACACGCCAACTTCAAAGCTGAACTGCTCCTACAAAAACATCAACATGCAATACCTGCCAACTGCTTCATATTTCGTAAAAGACAGTTCCTAATTTTCATTCCTTATCCAAAATTACCCATCCTGTCCAGCACTGGCACCAGGTTTTAACGTTGTGGATGTCTTCCCAATGTAGCTAAATAAGAAGTCTTTCTAAGGCAGGTGGAAATTGAGTAATTACCTGCCTCTTTACGGAGCTAACCAAACTAGGAAGTAACAGGACAGTTGTCTGATTGACAGCCAGGAGGGTGTAACCAGGTTAATTTATAAAAGTGCCAATTTCTATTGCAATCCGCACTTTTCCCCCCCCTTCTTCATTTTACAAAGACGACACACTCTTCACACATAAAGCACTTCAGCAAGCGAACGTTAGGGGTTAAGTGTTAATGGTTCCATACATCTATGGGTGCCATCCCATTTGGAGCAGTTTTATGCAAAGCGGGGCTCTCCCGGACCCTGGGAGACCGCCCCCTCTGCTGGTGTACCAACTATGAGGATGTTACACATGTGTGAAATCGTCCATCCTTTGACTGTAACACTAGACTGGAAGTGCAATGAGCTGGTTTGCCCAGCACTTTCAGCCAAACACACACATCCAAGTTGACACAGATAATGCAAAAGGGTAAATTTAACATTATCAGAGTGACCTCAGTGTGTGCCAGGGTGACAAACTGTGGTGAGCAGACAGTGGGAATACAAACATTTACCTATACAACAGAGTTTGTTTAATAAACCAGGAAATGTGGAGAATCGACATCACAGAGGAAGGTTTTAGGTCATTATAGCCAAATTGAAAAATAAAAAATAAAATCTAAGCTGGAAAAAGTTTCTGACTAAGCTGTATTCACCTAAGACGTGCTAAAATCAGTTTAGAGGAAAACAAAACAAAAACAAAAAACAAAACAAACAGCTGCAACAACATTTCAACAGGGCTATTCGTAAACGTTACTTTTTCAGGAATTGATGGAGAAACTTTACATTTTAAAACATAAGGACTGAGCTCACCATATTTTTATATGTTAGCAAGTTTAGGTTTTTTAGGGAAAAGTCATCTGCAGGCCATAGAACATTCTCTATATATTACATTCTATTAAATTAAAGAGGCTTTTCTCTTGTGATTTATAGCATTTCCCCACTGAATTCTCTGATTAAGTGTGAAAATACTATTTTTATACAATAGATAAGCAATCTAATAGAATCCAGCCCCAAAACAGATCATAAAACGAATATCCAATTCAATAAAAGCCATCTTCACTCCTGCATTGTGTTCTCTCAGGGCTTCCACATCTACTGTGTTTAATGCAACACATCACTTCATGCTGAAGGCAAACACATGAAAAGTTCTGCCCTGCTGTATGTAGCATTCACAAACTGCAGGGGAGGACTCTTAACTAAAGCAGAGCCTCTCTGGGATTCCTCCTTTATAAAAACATTAATTTATTTCTCTCCTGCAGTATTTAAATCCTAGATACAAGAGGGCAGGACTTTTCATGTGCTGTCCAACCCCTTCTATTAGTCACATGAGTCCAGAAAAATAACCATGGTTGGCTTAGCACTCCTACTTCCACCTGTCCAAACCTCACACTGAAGGCTGCAAAGTATTTTATTAGAATGCTCATCAAATACAGTACAACCAGGGTATTGGAACAGCAACACAAACAGCTTTTAATTCAAAGTGAAACTTTATCATCAAGTTAATATGCTGTCACACTGTTACCATGTTACCAAAAACAAAGTTCTCTGAGAAATAAGGGGGGGTTGAGAGTGATGTGTAATAAACCTGGTTCTTAAATGCAGTGACACAGTAACTCACTAACCCAGTTAGGCGGAGGGGCTTATTTAAGGTAAGGGGGGATTTCTATGAGATATAGAAGGATAAAGTTTGTCTTACCTGGTGATGTCACTTTGTGCCCCCTTGTCCTGCTGCAGGTGAATAACGTGTCCCGCTCTATCATAGGTTTCAGTTCAATTACAATGAAACGAACACAATTGTATCTATCGCTCTGATCTGTGATTGGATCTAGGGACAGACGGCCACATCTCCCATGATATTCATTTAGGGAAGTCAACACCTGTCTTTCTTCCTGAATGTGTGTTCCCCGCCCTCTTGGCTGATCCCCTCCCATGTTTTCTGCATTACCTGCTCCACAGGACTTTAAACCTTTATCAAGTCAGATGTCTCTCTCTCTGTGTCTCTCCCCCTCAATTTTCAGGCTGTCCCTGCTACACTCCTCCTCTGTTCTGTATTTCTAGGCAGCACTCACCCCAGTATCTAGCTATTTAATTCACACAGGGGATTCTAGCACACTCACTAAAACAAGCACATTATGTTTAAATATTGTTTGCTGAATTGCAATCATTCTACTTTATTTCCAACATGGAAAAAAAAAAAACCCTAAAAAACTTAAAAACTATTAAAAATAATTAATTTGAAAAACATTAAAAAAATCCAAAACATTAAAGGGACACTATAAGCACCCAGACCACTTCAGCTTATTGAAGTGGTCTGGGTGCACTGTCCCAGGTCCCTGCAATTGTAATTATAGCAGTTTTTGATCAACTGTAATAATTACCTTTGAGGGTTAACTCCAGCTCTAATGACGGTCTACCAGACAACCACTAGAGGCGATTCTGATTGTTAGGTGACTTTTTGTCGCCTAACTCACGCTGGACGTCCTCACACTATGCATGAGGACAGCCAGCGTCACCCAAAGCCCCTCATAAAAGCAATATGCAATACTTTTTTACTATGGGGGAAGTCCTAATGCAAGCGTGGTGCTATTAGGCACCACCCACTGGCTCATGTGGCAGAGCAGAGGTGGTTCCTGAACTTAGAATAAGGTGACAGAAGGGGTTTTTAACCCCTTGTGCAAATTTGTTTTCCAAACACTATAGTTTCCCTTTAAAAAAGAGCACTCTAAGCACCAAAACTACCACACACTGATGTAAGTTTATATCATATTGACTGCATGTTTTCATAGATTTCAGGTGTAGGACTCCGTTACAACCACTTCAACAAAATACTATATCTCTCCCTTGGCTCGCCTCCACTCTCCTCCCATATTTTCAATCGGAGCACTCTCTTATCTTGATCGATAGCAGTACCCATTGAAGCTGGACTAACTGCATCATATCGTCAGCGGGCCCTAGCCCTGATTTACTGGAACTTCAATGTGGCCTCGCCTCCAGTATCCACCCGGTTAAGTTCACCCACTGTTTTACCTCCTTTTACGGACACCTAAGAGAGCACTACTTGGAGGGGAGGTATAGGGGGATGTTTCCAACAATCGCTACCTAAGTGCCAAGTGGGGCCTCTCTTTTCCAGCCCACAAGGACACCCATTTAAAGACCAGCACTTGGCCGTGAACAGCCTGGAACTCCACGCCAGATTGAGATGTGAACAGTGCCCAGTGAAAACTTTATTTAATGATCTCTCAGGCTTGGCACTTCCAGTCTGGCTAATCTTTGGGCAATATCCTTGGGGAATCAAGATCTGTCAGGGGATGTGTGATTCATGTTGTGAACGGGCATATTTGACAGTTTTGGAGGAATCAGCCCGTAAGCACCCTGACCAGTGCTACTTCCACATGGAACTGTTATCCGCGTTTCTTCTACAAACCAGGGATCAAAGCGCTATATTCCCAGATTAGGCGCTCAACCATGGACTATCTTGGGGTATATAATGTGTCGGGGGTTTGTTTATGATTGTGTTCTGTAGATCCTTAACATCATGACACGACAAATCCCACGCGTTTGTCCTGGTGCCTGGGTGTTTGTCAGCCTGTTCAGTGGCTGCGGACTCAGTCCCCCCCCAACGTATAACTGCGATGTCCGGAGGAGGTGGCGAGGGAGCTATAATCTTGCTGCTCTGCTTCCTTGTGCGTGCTGCGTCAGTCTGGTGCTGGCATCACTAAACAGTGCATGAGGGAGCAGAGCAGGAAGATCACAGCAGCCACACTGAACCCCAGCTCTCCCAAAGTTATGGAGTATGGGTGGACTTAAATACAAAAAAAAACTTATAATAATTTCTGAGTATGTGAGAGAATGTGTGTGTGTATGTGTCTGTATGTCAGTGTGTTAAATCAGTTTGTGTGTGTATGTCTGTCACTGAGTGTCATGTGCTGCGGCCCTTTAACAACAGAACAGGTCCCCAGTGAAACATTCCCATCAGATAGCCGTAAGTGTACAAGCCACCAGATGGCCGCACCGGCTGTAGTTCTGTCAGTGTCATACAGTGTAAATTTTATTCTCATTCATAGAGATAAGGATTTAGAGGGACAAATCCACTTCTACCAAGAAATGTCCATTTTAATTGCCAATGAGTGCTGCTAAATTGTTGGGAAATAAATATGAATTCAGAGTGAATTTCAGTTCTAAGACCAAAATAGCCAAAAAAGACCAAAATAGCCAAAAGACCAAAATAGCCAAACTGTAAATAGAGCTGACTTGTTGAATGTTTCCAATTTGGCTCTTTAGGCCTGTATTTTAACCCCTTCAGGACGGAGTCAATAGTGCACGTTCTGATCAAAACAAAACGTAAACAAAAACTGGAATTTGCGCTATATGTCTGTTCACCCGTAATTCACCACTGTCACATTAAGTGCACCCGCACTTATTATATATCATTTTGTTCAGGAGAAACAGGGCTTTAATTTATCACGAACTATTCATATATGGAACATAATTTATTCTAAATAAAATTTAATAAAATGTTTTCTTTTTAAATTTGTATTTCCGTCTGAAAATTTAGCTGTGAATGTCATAATACTGTTAGGTTTTACTGCAAAAAAAATGCACATATTTGTAATCAGCGATGTCTCACAAGTACAACAGTACCCCCCATTAACAGGTTTTATGGTGTTTTGGAAAGTAAGAGGGTCAAATATAGAACGTTCCATTTTCAAATTGAAATTTGCCTGATTAGTAATGTTACCTTTGAGACGGTGTGGTAGCCCAGGAATGAGTATTACCCCCATAATGGCATACCATTTGAAAAAGTAGACAACCTAAGGTATTGAAAGTAGCCACTTTTTAGTAGCCACTTAGTCACAAACACTGGCCAAAGTTAGCGTTCATATTTGTTTTTGTGTGAAAAAAGCAAAAAACGAATATTTGACCAGTGTTTGTGACTAAGAAAGACTGGACATACCCCACTTGCAATACCTTGGGTTGTCTACTTTTGCAAATGGTTTGCCATCATGGGGGTAATTCTCATTCCTGAGCTACCATACGCTCTCAAAGGCAACATAACCAATCTGGCAAATTTCAATGTCAAAAAAATTAAATGCAAGTCTTATATGTGACTCTCTAACTTTCCAAAACACCATAAAACCTGTACATGGGGGGTACTGTTATTCTCGCGAGACTAAAAGTGACGTTCGTTTGTAAAAAATGCAAAAAACTTCACTTTTACTTAAAATATCATCGTTGTAATACCATTTACCAGTTTGAAACACTAATATTTGAGTTCAGCGAAGTCTCCCGAGTAAAACAGTACCCCCTATGTACAGGTTTTATGGTGTCTTGGAGAGTTACAGGGTCAAACATAGTCCTTGCGAATTAAATTCTCTGCACTTTCTCCCTGTGTTGTCAGGCATGTCAATCAAATTTGAATTAATCAAATCACATAATTATGTTAAAAGATTACTTAAATATACATGTAGAATTTTATTATATATGCATTTATAGGTATTTAAATTCTACGTGTATACTAATGTAATCTTTTATGTAAATATATATATTTATCTATATATATATATATATTTGCGGTTATTTGTATTTTATATATAGATATATATATATATATATATAATGTCATTCTAAGTGTATTTTGTTACCAATATATATATATATTAATAACAAAATACAGTTAGAATGAAATTACATATGAATATATAATTTATATTAAATGTTGTTTCAATATTTTATTTATTTATTATTGTAATTATACATATATATATATATATAATATATATACATATTATATATATGTAATGTCATTCTAAGTGTATTTTAATACTAATATATGTACTTATATTAATATTAAAATACACTTTGTATGACGTTACATATATATAATATGTATATATAATAGATATACATATATTATACATATATAAATACATTTCTCATTTAATTTTACACGTCTAATTATTTTTTTTAATTCTTCCCACCAGCAGGGGGACTGTCTGACATTTTAGACAGTCCCCCTGCTGGCAGATCCACAGGGGGCCATGTGATCGCTCTTTGAGAGCGATCACATGGCCCCCAGGGGCCTCATTTGCCGGGGGAGGGCTGCCTGGGCTGTCATGCAGCCCTCCCGAAGAGGATTGTGGTGGAGGTAAGTCCACCGGACCTCCAGGGGCAGAAAGCCGTTACGGCGTTCTATGCCGCCGCAACGGCTTTAAAGCCCTTTTAATGCGGGATGGCATAGAAAGACGTAACGGCGTTAAGGGGTTAAACAGAAAAATGCATTTCTAAGTATTGGTACTGCCGTAAAGACCAAAATTTATACAAAATGCAGATTAAGGAACAACGCACTCAAAAAATTTAATTTTAAAAGGCTACTTAACATAACCTGGCTTGTCAAACAAACATGTGGATTCCGTTGCACCATATGGTCATATTGTGTCCCCAATTCCCCTTTTTTTCTGTGTAGCTTTGGAATCCAGACAAGATTCCTAGTGGGCCAAGCACAACACCCATCCACTATAGTCTGGATCCCGAATGCAGTAGTTTAGTAAAGATTAGAATGTAAGCTTATAAGGATTAGAAAAAGGCTATGCCAAAAATACTGGTCAGATTAAGCGTTGTTAAATTATTTGTTTTTTCTTCAAACTTTTTTTTCTCTGGAACAAAAATTGCTTTGTAAACAATTGCTCATAAAATGTGCCTTGGTGCTAGATTAGCTCACTCATCATCTGCTGGTGTTGATGCAATTTAGTCCTGAAAAGCCATATCATGTTATTTATAGAAGAAATTTGCCTTCACCGTATTTTCATTTTTCCTACTGATATCATTCCAATTGATTATTTAGGATGTTTATTATCTTCACTCTGTAAAGGAAAGTAAGCTTTTCTCTTCCCCCGGGGACATACGTTGAGATATATTTATAGTCCCTCACAGTACTTTACAGTATAATTTGAAAAGAAAAACATTCTAATAGGATTAACGTAACGAAAAGAAAGGGGAAAAAACCTTGGAGAGAAAGAAGAGAGATGTGAGAGAGAGAATGAAAAGACAGCGAGAAATTAGAGAGAGAGATATATAATTAGGATCGGACAGCATTCCTGATTAGAACGCTTTATGATGCCCTGGTGCCAAAACCGAGAAGGCTGGATATGTAGTAATGATTTATTTAAAGTGGTTACAAAAGTATTTTTTGGGAAAAATTTGAATTTCATTACAAAAAAAAATGACTCATCTTTTTTTTTAAATCTTATAAATTTTTCAGAAAATAAAGAAAGGGAACAGAATAGATAAATAAATAGAGGGTAGATCACAATTCCACACAGTGGCACACGTTACAAATTGACAGTCTTTGTTTACGAGGATTTATCACATTTCCTTGCTAAACAATATGATAAGATCACTTATTGACAATACAATGTTGTAACAATTAAAGGCTTGTAGTCTCACCTATTCCAGAACCCCACACATGGTCTTCATGTGAAAATACAACCAGTAAGGAAATCGATTGTTGTGAAGTTTAGGTCGTAAATACTTTGACGATCAGTAGATTTAATTATCATTGGTATTGTAGTAATGGGAGATTTCTACGCACTAGCTATACATTGTTATAGTGGGAAACCTAGAGTAAACATTTCAGCATTCCCAAGGGTGATCAGTGGTAAAACAAAGTAGAAAATAAGTGCAGGGCAAAAGACAGGGTGGTTCCAATTATTTTGCAATTCCAGAACCATTGGATTCATGAACAGAGCCATCATATGCGTATCACAGTTCCCTCTGAAAGCAAAGCAAAGATGCATTGGGGAAAATTTGTGTAGCCTAGTTGGAACCATAAACCATTCATATAACATTTTTCTGTGTTGTTTGAAATGTTTAATCGGATTAGACCATTGTGGAAGAGATCTCCCAATTTAATATATTATCTGCTTGATAACTTTATTCGGACATCTGTGATCAACAAGAATGACTGGTTCCTCTTTACAGCAAGCTTTATGATCGGTTTATGTACACATCATATTATATATACACACGTACATCCATGGTAACGCTACTCCCATAGTCTTTTAGAAAGACTTCTGAACATCTGTCAATATTGGTTTTATTCTTGGTTTGCATAAGCCGAGAAACTGTTTGTTTTACACTGACCCAAACAGAACTGTAAAAATCATTATTTGCTATATTCGACGCAATGTTTGCCAAGTGTCTTTCAGAAAGAGCCCATTTGATCCGTTTAATCAGTATATTTTCCCCCACTTACACTGTATCCTGAAAGATGTTGATAAATGTGTGTGTTCTGTATTAGAATGCAGCATGTCCAATAGAAAGCAAGACAAGCAAAGTAACCTTTTCCTATTGGATGAACGTTTTATCATTATGTCTAACTCACCTAACATGAACAAAGTATCAAAAAGATGTAGTGAGGCCTAACACGAAACAACTGTCTACAGTGCAAATACAAGGACTTTAACTCCCAGAGCAAAACAGGTGCCATGCTGATGAGACTCACAAGGTTGAAACTGTAGTCACGGCTGGTTTCTGGCCACTGATTCCTTTTTTGTGTATTCACCTAACAGGAGATATAGGAAACTGGCAAGACATTCTGTTGCGTAGTGTAAAATACAGGGAGGCAATAGGGGGCACAATTATATGTGCCAAAATATGTCAAAATGTGTTTCTTTTGATCATTTAATTTTCCTGTTCTTTTCATTGGTTTACAAATGTGTGGCTTCCAATATGAAAAAAGTGCAGAATTTCTTTCTAAACAAAAATTTCTATTACTCGATCATCAAACTGGCAGGTTTTCTATGACAGGTTAGCAGCTTTCTTGTTTAGTTTTTTGCGGTACGGTCGCCTTGTGGGGACTTTGTATGATTTGCAAAGACCCCCAGCAGGACATAGCCGCTGGGTCTTTCGGTGGCATCTTCTTTTGCCCAGTCCTCTTCTGTGCACCAGGAGCTGACATCACAGCTGTACTCTCACGCATGCCCAAGAGTTCAGCAATGAGGTTTATGGAGAATCACATGAGAACCAATTCCATGCAGCCATCACTGGTGACTGCTGGGGTATTCACACTTCTAGATAGCGGTAACTCTGCCCAGTGTCTATAAGGGTCAGGTGTAGGAAAAATACTTAAACAAAGTAGTCTCTAATTTGTCTCAGTATATCTTTTGACAGAGTTGGAATTTCAGTGAAATCCCAACACAGTCAGTATGAGTATTATCTGTATGAAAGACTCATTTTGCAGGAGTGGGGGTTTACAGTGCAGCTTTGATGTAAGAAAAATCATTGTAATCGCAAAATCAGCAGGAATGAAAAGGAGAAAAACAATCCAAAAGAGGAATACAAAGTGGAAGAAAGATTCATTTGGCACACATAGAAAAGAAGGGAAAAAAGGGTACCAATGTATGAACATGTAACATATTTATACATACAAAACTGGAGCGAATACAGCAAGTTTTATAAAATAACCCTTGTGGTATCTGATAGAAAGCTGTTTAAAATAAAACTTTATTCTGTGCGGTGGAATTACATGTTTTAAAATATGAAACCCACGTGCTGTCTGATGCCCTACATTATATATGGAGTAACCGGGTGTCTTAAAGATAGAGAATATCCCTGTTGTTGGGCACTGCCTCTAATTTGGAGGGAAAAATAAAAATGTATTAAACAACACACCTGTAACTGGTTTAAATTAGATGTTTGAGCAGTTTTCAGGATAAATTAATCTTATCCCGATGCTAAGCCAGTATGAAGACTGAATTATGTAGAATTCAAACCTCTGCATTCCACAGGCAGGTACTTAAAAAAATAAAATAAAAAAAAAAGTCACAAAGCCATAAAGCAGAATTGTCCTGTGACAATAATGAAACGATGCAAAATATCATTTTACATACATTTTATTTATTTTTGCAGATGTGTTTATATCACTGAACGAAAACAACAGCATAAGATAGGGGATACAAATGCTAAAACAGTGCACAATTTTACAGGTAATCGTTTTTCTAAATGGTGTTTAAAGGCATACTCCGAGAACCATAACCACCACTGCCCTGGCACTGTCCCAGTAAAATCTGTCTGTTTTAGAAGTACTGATGCTTCAGGTCCTGCTTCCAGATTCTTCTTAAAGGAGAATCCTTTTCGCTCCATTGACCTAAGCAGGACCATTCTCATTAGCTGAGAACAAGAGTTGAGCGCTCTTGGCCAAAAAGTGCAGCGCGATAACAGCTGTGCTTGGGCTGCAAAGAGATATCTGACTTCTCTTGCAGGAGAGGACAGTAAATGGTGTGGACCTCCTGGCAAGCTATGAAACAGTTTTAAAATGGTTTCATAAAATTGCATTTAGACATTGCCAGGGCACTCATAGTACCATAAACACTACGGCGAGCATCTTGCTTGGAGTGTTCAATTAATGACTGAATGGCTGAAAACTAATACAACCTGGTGTTCACAGTATTCTACCAGAATTCCAACTGATGCCCTCTTAAGATATCATTATGCTGCATCAAATGATGTGTTTTGGGGAAAATTTACTTAATAAAATGACCAGAGGTTACAATAGGAACCATTTATTCCTTCTCATTCTATACATCTTCCATCAACTCAGCAGGTATAATCCTTCGATGTGCTCTGTGTCAAACCGTTAGTTAGATGGTAGATTCCCTTAAATGTAATCTCACTCTCCATTACCAGACCTGGCAACTTCTGATAACATCTCTCAGTGCTTTAATACTGTCCACGCTTTTATCCTTTAATGCGATGGATAGAAGGACTGGTTTGTTCTTTGATTCTTGCGACACAAAAGTTACCAAGTTTTTTGCAAAAACGTGGATTAGAGGCTGTGGAGGAAAACAAAACCTTAATTAATCTGGAGGTAAATTGAAATTTTTTTTTTTTTTTTTTTTATATATTCCGTAAATTTGTGGCTGGGCAATTTCTTCCATCAAAACAACTTGGACTGCCAACTACCAAATACCCAGGCAAGACCTATGACAAATATACATAGATCCAGAACAGGCAATAAACAATAAAAAAATACCCCTTATTTTTAATAAATTATAAAGAGTTTGGTATTTAAGAAAACAATAATGGAGTCAAGAAATGGAATTAAATAGGTAAAAAGGATACATACTTTTAATGTGTCGTTCAATGCACAGTATAGTGGATCTGCCTGCAGTTAGGCCCCTAACTCATGCTCTCAGCCAAGGAGCTAAGCCTTGCTTCCAGGACTTAGTTCAGAGGAGCTAACGAAAGTTATATCTATATTGAGGTACTTTGACACAGTGGGTGGCTTAACACTGTATAGTGTTATGAAACCTTTTTAAATGATGACTTAAAGGAACAATACAGCCCCCATTGTCCCAATTAATAAATGTGCTGATTTTAGGAGAAATCAGCACTTTTACGAATTAATTTGACAACACCCTCTTAGCATTCAAGCTGACAACCAAGAGGGCTATCGGATTCACACTGCTTGAACGAATGTTTACGAGGAGGTGGGAGCTTCCATAGGTGAGCAATAGTCTCATACAAGGGTTGGCAACCTTCAACACTCCAGATGCTGATACTTTGCCAGCATTATGGGAGATGTAGTCCATAATGTCTTGGGTGCTGAAGGTTGCTTACCCCAATCTAATTCTTCACTATGATAAACAAATTTTCCATTGCTGGTCTGCAGCGTTTGAGGCAATGGTAGCCCAATGTATTTGTGAAATAAAATGCCTTGTGATGTAAGTCCATAGAATTTTAGCATGACATGTACTCTTTAGAGAATACTGACCTCATCTTTTCCTAAAAGCACTTTTGTAGTTAGTGATGGTGTACCAAGATCACCTGACATGGCATTAGGCGAGACAGACACCAGAGTCCCCATTTTTCCATACTGTGTCACCACAACTAAAATGTGATCGCTGAATGCGGAGCAAACCACTTGAGTGGCAACACCGTTGACCATTTCCTCCGCTTTTTTGGAAACCACGGCAGGCTTCCCATCCATTTCTGATGTATGTACCCTGATTTGTAGAAAAATAAATATAAAATAAAATGATTATTTTTAAAACAAAATTTACAATTAAAAACACAAATATAAGCTGCTATGAACACACTGGCGTGTATTCAAATTTAATTATAAGTTGCAATTTATTTGCACCACAGGGGTTACTGTATGGCAGGTGATAGATATCAGAGACAAGGCTGCCAGTCCCCATATTTTCCACCCCAAAATAAGGAAATAAACCACACATATTTATCAGTGGTATGACACAAAAACTCACCCAATGTATCTACCTGGGTATGTCATATATAACAAAATTTCATAACCTGCAGCATTGGGGTGCTTAGGAGAACTGACTTTAAAAACTTTAATTGCCAGAGATACAATCAGCAACATATTCTGCGAGCCATTCTGAAATAATAAATTAACCCATTGCACAGCACTACGGAATTTTGCTGGCGCCATATAAATAAATAATAAAATAATAGCTAGAAACACCCTCACAGTTCATGTTCACTGTTGCCACACGGATTTAAATGTCCCTAAATCATTGGTGCTCAAAAAGATAAATCCCCAGACATTTTAAAACTACAACTTCCATGATGCTTTGTCATTTTAAAGGAATACACAGCATCATGGGAGTTGTAGTTCTACAAAACATCTGGGGGGGGAGGGGGGTTGATCTAACTTTTGGGCACCCCTGCTCTAAATGATATTCCATTATTATTTACAAATGTGCTGCAGAAGCTTTAATTTAGGGAAAATAGCACATTTTTAATGTAAATAATATATTGAGTAGGTGTAAATCCTAACCTCTGTGAGTGACCAGTGACCCACCTTTCCCTGGCACTCAGGGAGTTAATTCAATGACAGGCAGCCCTTTACAGTAAACACAGCCACGTGGGTGTGACTAGGCCCAAAGCCTGCCCTATCGTACCCAGAGCTGGCCAAGCACCAGGAAGTTGCAGGGGTAGTCTAGACGGGGCTCGGCGACCCGGCGGGCATATCAATGAAAGGTTAGCTCCCTCCTGACCTGTCAGCTCGCACTGAAAGTTCTGGTAAGGCACACACTAGCAGGCTCCACGGCAATGGCGGAAAAGAAGCACAGAACTACAATTCCCGAGATCCCTTGCGAGACGTTTTTTTGCGCTCAACTTTATTAACAACTTTCAAAGACAACAACAGAACTAAAAAGACTTCAGCTAAACTTGTGGGAGACAGAGAAACTATTGATATGAATGTGTTGAATATTCTGGGTGTTTTGAACATTCTTTAGTCTTTTTTTTTTTTTATAACTGCAGATTCAGACATAAAGAGGTAGCAGTGGCTATATATCTGCTTTTTTGCTCTGAGTGTGATGGGACTCATGGGGGTTCAATTGCTTCATTGCATATAATGGCTTCTTGGTGTAATATCATCTTGGCTATGCAGAAAGAAACACAACACCAGCACCATGAGGCAGCAATAACACTGTTGTTTTGATTGTTATTAAGACTGACCTGTTATAATTGTTAATTAGTTCTGCTATGTCAATCCAGTGCTTTCGCCATCATTTTCTTTGCTGGCTAAGTAATATGGGAGTCACCATCCGTAGCTGCGTGGATAATGCATTGGTTTCCTACCCTTGCGTCTATTCTGCAGTCTTCAGTCCACACACAGGGCCAGTGGAAATTCTTTTTGGCTACACAGTTGAAGATGTATTGTGCCCACCACTGACACTTTTTCCCCCTCAACTGGGCAGTTCTAACACAGACATCATGAGTGCAGGCCTCCCAATAGTCCACATTTCAGCAGGACAGTCCCTATTTAAGGGTCCTGCATTGCCGTCCCAGACTTTGTTACCTCGTGTCCTGGTTTTGGGGACACCGGGGAACTGTCTTCAGAAAGCGGGGCACAAGTGCATCGTTAGACACGCTCACGCTACGCTCATGGCACTAGGACAAAGCAGAGAGCTGAAACCCACACAAAATATTTAATTGTATTGGGGCTTTTTGAAGAGATCCACCCAGCCTCCCTTCCTTTGCATGGGAAAGCTGGAGTGAACCACCTCCCAGGGGTTAGTTGGGGCTGCTAGTATCAGCTTGCAGAGCTTCCTTGCACTCCCATTATTGATGCCAGGACCGGAGTGGCATTACATCACATCAGACATAGCTCTTTAAATGCAAATTCAGATAACTCCTATAGGAAAACTATAGTATTAGGAATACAAAGCCGTATTCTTAACACTATAGTGTCCCTCTGCCCCTGCGCCTCCGCCCTCTGGCACCTAAAGGGTTAGAAACGACTCACCTGATTCCAGCGCTGAAGTCCCTTGGTGCAGGCTCAATCTCCTCTAACGTTCTCTCGAGGGGGGAACCTAATTCTTTCCTATGTGGATTCTCAACACCCCGGACATCCTCATGCAAAGCGTGAGTTAAGAGTTAAACTCCATGAAACAGCAGGAGGCGCTTCTAGTGGCCGTCTGGTAGACAGCTACTAGAGCCAGTCTTAATCCTGCAATATAAACATTGCAATTTCTCTAAAACTGCTATCAGCCGCAGGGTTAAGGGGACTTTGACAGTGCACCCAAACCACGTCAATGAGATGTAGTGATCTGGTAAAAGAAAAAATCAAGTAAAAGTATGGCGCTAAAAATTCTTTGGATACAATTAGAAAATAATATAATAGCTGCACCTTATAATGTGTAAAAGTTAAAGAAGCACATCACTAGACAAAAAAAAACCACAAATAAAGTGCACTGTATCTTTAAAAATATTGCAAAGTGAATAGTGATATCACTTAATGATAAAGTGCATACATATATTCATATCATAGTGAATATAAAGTGAATCACAGAAAACTAAGTGAAAGTGCACTGTGCAATCAAACACTGTAAAGTTCAAACATCTGTGAAAAACAGTTGCTTAAAAACTGTGTCTGTATAATAAACACTATATACATACTCTTATCATCAGGGAATAATCACTTCAGGAATATCACATGAAAAAAATAAAATAGAAAAACATAGGGCAATACAGTACAAATGAGTATACAAAAAAGGGGAGAGGGGAGAATATTCAACACACAAGTGAAGAGCAGAGAAGTCTGCTCTAACTGTAAAGGCTCTTCAATACAACTAGAGTGATGACCGTGGTGTAGTAAACTACTTTATTCAGCTTCATATAAAAGAACACGCAGGCCAGCAGGTAAGACCTCTTATTCCGTATAGCTACTCCTCACTGAGCTTGGCTGAGAGTATGGTCCGTTGCCGGCTACTACGGAACTCCGAAAACCGGGTACTGTGAACTCTGTTCTTCCGGGAGTCGGGGCTTCCAACCAGTGTGCAAACACGATGACGAGAAGGTGCGTTGACGCGTTTCGCAGATGACTCTGCTTCCTCAGTGATCTGGTGCCTATAGTGTCCCTTTAAAGTTCCAATCTCCAATTCGCTATTTACAGTGTCCACATGGGCTAACCCTTTATGTGCACATAACTACTCCAGCTAGTGCTATTTTATATACTGATAACTGAATATACAGTATATAAATTAATATGAATTAATTACTCTTTGATTAGGTTGCGTTTTCTGCCAGAACAAAGCCTTTTGACTTATATCAGTAATAGAACAAATGTCTAGCTATATATGACAGTTGATATATAAATTTAAGTCAATGTAACTTTGTAAGCCTGGCCTAAAGAAGACGTGCAGGAATCAGACATAGTATATAGTATATTTGTTTCGGAGTGTAGTCAGTAAATACATGTGGTTTCACTGAGGTCAGGAGAAAGGGTAAATTGTACATTTTATTATTTAACATTTTTTTAAGTAGAATAGACGAGAGGCTGTAGTTGTTAGGAATTAGAAATATATAATAGTAATTGGATGTTTCTCTTGTTTTTGCAAACAGCCACCTGCCAGCTTTGAATATGGCTGAACATCATGAGAGTTGTAGTCCACAGCTGGAATCCAAGAGTCTCCCTATTCCTACCTTGATCTTCTAAATTGACATTCTGTTTATCTTCAGGTTTACTGTTCTCTCTCAGTCGATATACTGATTTCTGTAGACATTTGCAGACTGTTGACAGACATTCTCACTATTGACTGCAACCTCTACCTCGTGAGATGTTTTTCGATCGATGCTGGAGTGCCTTAGATGTCCAGATTCTGATTCCAATAACAGCTACTCATAGTGGTTTAAGTATAAATGTGTTTATGTGTGAAAATTAACACAGCCATGAAACAGTGAGTTAATGTATCACCTAATTGTAAACGGATTGCTAACAGAAAGAGAGTTCAGACCACCAAAAGCTCGAAAATAGAAAAGCGATTTAATTATTGTACTGAAAATTTTGTCGCAGACAATGTATCTAAATCTGTGTAAGAGTGTTTTAAATTTTAGATTATTCTGTGTCAACAGATCGAAATGAAATGATCTAAGTCACCTTGTCTTTCAGTGTGGCTACCCTGGCCTTAAATTTGAAATTCACGTTGAAGTCTTACTTTAGTGAATGAAACAAAGAATGCCAAAGATAAGCACTTACCTTTGAATTCCTTCTACCTAGTATTGTGCACAAATCTCACTCAGCTGCACTAAAAGAATCAGTGGCTGTTAATCACTGCCCAAACGAATCAGTTCATTTGTGATTTTCAGAACAAATCGATTCGTTCGTGCAGCGATTACCAGGCATTTGATTAGCTCAGCACAGCTGAATGGGATTTCCACACAAGTGTAGGTATAAAGATTTAAAGATAAGTACTTCTTCATTATTTTGACTTTTTTTTTTTTATTTGACAATTTTTATTTAGACATGTAGATACATTACAATTGCGTTTGTACCTTGAATACCTTACTTTGTGACTGAACATATGATGAAATGTTCCGGTTACAATTGAATTAGGCATTTCAGTGTTGCTTATTGACATTAGGTACATAGGTTATGCATATTACATGTCTCAGGCATTTTGTGGGGAGGTAGCATTGAAGGGGGGGGGTATAGATGAGAAACAGAAAGAAGAGGTGGGGGAGAGGGGGTTATCAGGGAAGTGATGGACGAATGACCCTGGGTTTTCATTATTTTGACTTTTTAATACATGTAATACATTAAAAATGGGGGTTACTTACAGTCTTTTGTATCCATTTAGCACAAACTTACTTTTTAAATATACCATTACATTTCATTGGCAGTAGCCTGGTATTGTAATTGCAAAACGTGTTGATTTTAGGGATTAACTGACTAGGTAAGAAAATGTGGAGAAGCAGGTTCAGTTCAGCCCATCTCATTAAACAAACATGCCGCCATCATTCTGAACTCATGCCATAGGTTTCTTTTAAAACAGTTTGGGTTTTACTCAACTAGTTTGAAATAGTGGAAAACTGAAATCATTTTTGCAAATTTTCAGACACAAAAATCCAGTTTAGCTACTTTGAACCAAAAGGTTTTATGTCTTTATTACTTTTCAGTTATTCACAGTTTAATGAATTAAAGGGACACTTCATTGCTTAAAATAAAATAAAAAAAAATACTGGTTAGTAGATATAGTCTCAAATGACATGTGTGCATTTAATAATGCATTTTTCATTGGTGTATATCCAAACTTTTTTATTTTTTTATTTTTTGTTTGAAGCCATTGCAAGCCCTCCCTTTATTACCACACCCAAACTTTCTGTGGCTGTCCAATCACAGACTTCCCAATGCAGCTCAATGAGAAGTCTCTGCAAGGCGACTACTCTGGGCAGTTGCTGCCCCTTGAGTTTAGCTCCACTGAGCTAAGCAAACCAGAATGTTAAAATGGCTGGTTGTCTGATTGACAGCCAGGGAGGTGTAACAAGGTTAACTTAGAAAAGTGATGATTATTACTGAAATCTGCATATCTTTGTACACTGACAAAGAGAACACATCTTCCCACATAAAGCACTTCAGTAAGCTGAAGTGCCTTAGGTTTCTGGAATGTCCCTTTAACTCATAGTAAACTATCCGTAGTTAAAGATATTCCCGAGTTTGTTTCCTCCATTGAAGTAATGGAGATTTAATATAGATGAAGTAAAGGGCGATGCTCAATGAATAGTATTTTAAAAGTACTTTATTTTAAGGAAGATTCGCAATATACAGTATTTTGAAGAAATTATCACACAGCATTCCATTTCTTTTTTTCACCTATCACTTTTCGCTAATTATTTTTATCAGTGCCCATACATACAAAATTCCAATAAATTATATAACGCCCAAAAATTCTACAACACTGTACATTAGATAAAACAAGACAAGCAATTCTAACAACACATGTTTGACTTACAGGAACCATAGATGCAGACTTCCTAACCAAGCCTACAATCTAAAAGGCCACTTTAAAAAAAAAAAAAAAAAAATATATGTCATACCTAGCTAGTTAGATACCGAGCTGCAAAAATAAAAGACAAAAACACACTTGCTATACTTAGTATTGGGTATTTGGCCTTGGGATATGATGTGAACATATAAAACTATTATGGATCAAAGGAATTAGTCTGCAACACAGATTCTTGAAACTGTTTTTTTTAGTTAGCCTCTGACTACCTCAAACATTTCCTTCCTAGCCATTCCTTGAAAATACTTTAATGATCATCCCACTAACCCAGGGGTTCTCAACCCAGTCCTCAGGACCCCCTACCAGTCCAGGATTTGGGGATTACCTGGGTGTGTCTCAGGTGTTTAGAAAAAGGGAAGAAAACACCTTAGACTCTAAGGTGTTTTTTTTTCTAAACACCTTAGACACACCCAGGTAATCGCTAAACCCTGGACTGGTAGGGGGTCCTGAGGACTAACGTTTAGAACCCCTGCACTAACCCAAGGCTATAATTTCTGCTACATTTCTTTATCTGTGCTTTGTGTTCACCAATCCCCATTAGGATGAAAACTGTATGCTAGGCTCTAGTGTATCAATTTCACAAAGTACCACTTGTAAAACCCGTTAGCACGGGTGCATTTATTGACACTAAATAAAAGAAATATATAATATAATAAATATGATAATTTAATAATAAATTGAAAGCATTCTTATAATATTAATTATGATTATAGAAAATCATCTGGGCTAATTTCCTAATCAAAACAGTTGTGAATGCATTTGCTCTATTAGCCACAAGATGGCAGTAAAACATCATGGAAGAAATAGCACTTTGCTAGCCTCGAACATAATGCAAGGAGAATCAACGTTCTCTCAGGATCCAATTGCTACAAGCAAACGGGCTGTACTCATAATAGCACTGAGCAAGGAGCTTGTTCCAGCACAGAAATAAGAGACGGGAAAATGGTAGTATATTTAATGCAGCATCTCATGTCCCAAAACATTAAAGGCAATAAGGATATTTAAAAGTTTATTACAAAACTAATCTTCCTTCACCCAACAGGACTTTTGTAACCTGTGGCCGATTTAGTCGAGGCACGTCTGATAACGATGACAATTATGCCTACATTATTTCCAGGACAAAGGGAGCGCTGCCTGCCAGAGGGAGTCAATCTGCTATTTTTTTATATCTTACATCTCTCCGGTGTAAAGGGCCAATGCAGAATTGTGAGTTAAATACTGGGAACAAATACCTGTTTGTGCTAATCTGCATATTAAGAAATGCATTCTGGGAGATTTATGGAAATACGATGTCTTAGAATTTGCCTAGATCAAAGTAAACATTGTTCTGCATATAATGAAGAGAGAATAACGCACACATGATCTTTGTGCAGTTCAGGGGAGACCTACTCTGTGGCACAACCAGGACATACATGTCACTGTCTGCTTGCGATTAGTGTGAGTTACGCTCACAAGAATTAATCTAAGGCATTACTGACAGGTATATCCCAGTATTACTCTTACAGGTATAGCCTATCTTTAAACGCTACGCTATCGCTAACCATTACCAAGTCAAAATTATATAAAATAAGGTGCGCAAAATAAAACGTGATGTGTATACTTATATAAATGTATATACTCTTAAAGATATCTCCCATTCACAGAAACTGCAAAAAAAAATAAAAAAAATAATACACATATAGTCAAACCAATAAAACAGGTATGATAATTGCCCTTTATATTCCTATACGAACACAACTCAGAAGATCAGGGTGGCTCACCACCACTCAGTCTACTGCACTCAAGGAAGTTCAGGCTCTGACTAGCGATAAATCGAAAAAAACCAACACTGATTCTGCTACCCAAAGGACCGTGAGTAAAGCATATAAAATGCAGTAAAAACAAAAATGAGGCGAGGTAGGTAAGCCGCAGAGATAGCTATACAGAGAGTTTCTAGCCACAATGAAACACTCTCTCAGTCCTCATGTGATTTAGGCATCTCACCTGTGCACTCATTCTTAGTTCCAATTATGTATAATAATACCCACAATGCATTGCATGCCACTCACTGGAGCTTTCTCAAGTATTAAACATTGACCCGTACACTATGCTAACACTAATCATTAAGCCCTACATTACCCTTACTCTAACCCTGCCACTACCCTAACTCTTACACTAACACCAGCCTTTAACCCCTTTAATAATCTAACCCTAGATCTAAATCCTTACACTAACTCTAATATTAAAACTAACCCTAACTATAACCCTAATAGACTAAAACATTGCCTAAAATAGTAAAATTCAAAATTAAAATGTAATATAAAATATACATGTTAATGAAAAGCGTAATAGGGGAAAATAACACATCAAGTGATTCTGGAGACATTCATAAACCCATAGGCGTGCGCAGCCTATTGCATTAGGGTGTGCACCCTAAAGCACAAACACACGCCGCTGTTAGTGTGATGTGTGTGTGAGGGTGCTGTTAGTGTTCTATGTTGGTGAGGGTGCTGTTAGTGTGCTGTGTGTGAGGGTGCAGTTTGTGTGTGTGAGGGTGCTGTTTGTGTGCTGTGTGTGAGGGTGCTGGTAGTGTGCTGTGTGTGAGGGTTTTTGTGTATGTGTGTTAGAGTCCTGTTAGTGTGCTGTGGGAGGGTGCTGTTTGTGTGATGTGTGTGTGTGAGTGTGCTGTTTGTGTGAGGGTGATGTGTGTGTTTGTGAGGGTGCTGTTAGTGTGCTGTGTGTGAGGGTGTTGTGTGTTTGTAAGGGTGCTGTGTGTGTGTGTGTGTTTGTGAGGGTGTTGTTAGTGAACTGTGTGTGTAAGTGTACTGTGTGTGTGTGTGTGAGGATGCTCTGTGTGTGAGGGTGCTGTATGGGTGTGGGTGCTCTTTGTGTGCTGTGTGTGTGAGGGTGCTGTATGTGCACGCTGTTTGTGTTAGGGTGCTGTGTGTGTGTGGGTGCTGTATGTTTGGAGGGATTGTGAAGGTGGGGGCAAATTAGTAAATATCCCCCCTCCCTTCTTACCTTATGTAGGGAGGGGGATTCTTGCTGCCATGTGCCATCCCTGGTGGTCCAGTGGAGAGTGAACTCCAGTCTGCGGGGCTAGAGTTCACTCCCGCGAGATCTGAGCTTTGCCATGGCAACTCTCAGATCTCGCGAGAGGAACCTGGCGGAGCTTCTGTCTAGAGCTCCCCGGGCCCTCTCCTGCCTGCCTCCATGCTGTCTTTGATCTCCTCTCCGGCCCATGGAGGCTTAGAGCAGAGCCGGCACTCAGATAGCACCGGCTCTGCATGAGCCGACAGGGGTCAAGTCCTGGGGAATAAAGTGTGGAACTCTCTCTCTCTCTCTATATATATATATATACACACACACGTGCTCACACACACTGACACACATACACAGACACACACATATATATATATGCGTACACACACATACACTCACATACTCAGGCACACACACACATACATTCACAGACACACACACTTACAGACACACACACATACATTCACAGATACAGACACACACACAGACACTCACAAATTATTATTTTTTTAATAAAAAAATGCCCACCCAGCCTCCCTTCCTGGAGAGCTGGCGTGGACTTGTCCCTGGGGTCCAGTGGGTCGGGTGCCTGTCTCCATCTCAGCCGCGGCGAGGGAGCTGTGTGCTCTCTGCTTCCTCTCGCACGCCTATGCATAAACCAAATTGAACTTTGATTTGATTGTTTATGATGATATCTCCAGAATCCTTCCATGGTAAGAGTTACCTAATATAAATGATTTGCTGTTATTTATTCCACATTCGCTCTCTCTTCCACATTTATTTTAAACAATCTGATTCTAATATAGGTGCTCATCTATTTGAACATGTAGGTAGTTAAAACATAACCCCAGTCACCTGTATTCAAGCAGGATCTCTCTCTGTGCCACACTAAAAAGGAAGCTATTGATGCAGTTGCCTAAATTATTATCAATCCAGTGTAGTTTATCAACAGATTATCTGCAGCCTTGTGTGACCATAACAGCACCATGGCCCAGTGACAAACTTTCTATTCACAGCTAAAAAAAAAATACAACAAGGATTCAAAAAAACTCAGAATCCATTTAACCTAAATGAAGCTCTGAATATGATCCAACTCAGCAATTGCCCCGTGTAGTAGATCTGCAGTCAAATGCAAAGGCATATATATATGTATATATATACTTATGTGTGTATGTGTGCTTAGTAAGACAGTTTAAGCAGAACCAGACTAAGGAGAGCTTAATCAAAGTCCGTGATTAAAGGGACACTCCAGGATACAAATAACTCCTTATTTGTAAAGCCTTATGGAGATAATGAATCAAACAAGCAAAAATATATTGCAACAATACATTTGAATGGCTCTCATTTGCTGAATATATTACTGAATATCGTAATTATCTAAAACAGGGGTGGCATAGAGGTAAATCCCCAGATGTTTTAAAACTACAGCTACCATGATACTGTGTCATTCTAAAGGCATGCAAAGCATCATGGGGGTTGTAGTTCTAAAACATCTCGGGATCTACCTTTTGGGCAGTGCTGATCTAATGCATCTATGGGGGCGTGAGACCTTCCAGCCACCTCGGATGCTTTTATTGATTTCAAATAGAGTGCGGTGGCATCCCACGAACCCTTTCTATGCACAATTACAACATAGAATAATAACCCTGCCGTAAACTGGACAGATCCATATAGATCTGGACAAATTCTGAAAGCAGTGTGTGCTCTGACCTTCTGACAGTTTCACATTTGGGAAAAAAAATATAATTAAGTGCTTGCAAGAATCAATTGAAGCCAAAAGGTGTTTTCATTAATGGAGTATAACGTTGCTTCCAATCATGCATGGATACATTTGTTTCATTCAGATTACTGAGGGGTTTTACAGGATTACACTATGTAATTTTCTTTTTTAATATTGCTATATTTATATACATTTGTTGGATATATATTTTACTGGCTTAAATCTGCTGGCTATGTTATCCAGATTATATCCCAGTGTAGGGATTATACCATGAATGTCTGGATTTTAAGGGAATTTTGAGAGTGATATTATATCAACATTTCTGTTTTGATTACCAATAATATTACCCTATGTGTATTTTCAAATTTTTTATTTTTATGTCTCATTACTTATTACTGATTGATGTATGTATATTGTTATACACCTATATATTTGTGCTTTGTACTGCAACGATCTTACCTGTATGCAATAATTTCCCTTTCTTCGTGGCACAACTCTTGTCTATGTTCTGTTTTTTGCTTTCTACCTTTAAGCTTTGATTCATTAATGCCTTACTGAACTCTCAGATAAAGAGAGCATTAAAATCTTTTTTTTTTAAATTTCTCAACATTTCTCTACAACCAATTTTTTTTTTGTTTCTCAAAGACCGAGCGAATAATTATTGGCTATTTTTAGCCTGGGTTAAGCAACCTGTTTGTCTCCCGTGCAACGCTCTGCTTAACTGTCTGAAACTCAGAGATTTACAGGGTATTTAATTTTTAATTCTAGCTGTGTAGCGTGTGCCTACCAGCTTATTGAATAGATGTTCGGACAGACAGCTATGCTCTACTGAAGCGCTCTGTATGTTGTAGGAGCAAAGCAGTGCGCAGTCTTACATCTCTATGTGCATCAATGTCTCTTAAAACATTTCCACGTAGTGCAGACAACCCTGTGAAGTTTTAAATAACAGCATGACTCTTCTGAAAAGCCTATGTAGCTTTACAATAAAAGGAACTACTCTCTGAGTGGGGTTCCCTTACACATCACAATGATGGTTAACCTTAGAACTGCAGATGTTTAAGAACTATATTTTTCATAACTTTAAAGTTAAATATTTTATTAGCATTTGTATATACATATATACATTACAATGAAAATACTGCCATTCTGCAGAACAGAAATGTTTTCATTTACAGCATTGCAGTGTTAAAACAGGTGGACATGGCACCCAGACCACGTAATTTTGAATGAAGTGTCCTATAGTGGCCTTTTAAAAAAACATTTGTCCATAGCTAATAATATGTATGTATTTTGTCTAGCACAATATATAAATTATCAATTATTGCAAGTGTATTTTCTACTCTGTATTACTGTATTAATTTTTTTATTTTTTTTTTATATATTAATATATGTTTTTTTTTTTATATGATATATTGTTTGATATTTTAATCTGCTGAAAGAATCATTTGTAGAGTTTATCCAGCCATATTAAATTGAGGCCTGCATTAGATACCATCTTTCTTATTACCTTTGAATATCCATAACCTGAAGAGATAATATCCCAAAATGTTGCTTCATTCAGATTTCATCCAGGGCTTATTATTTACATCATTGTCATGTGACACAAGATTGGACCAGCAATAAAATGCTTGTATTGCCATAGCAACCTTTGATATCTTCCTTGCACATCTCAATGTTATTTTTATGTGTTTAAAACTATCGAAGGGAGGGGTGGAGCCTAACCACCAAGCAGAGCAGTTGCATATCAGCATATATCAGCAAGTCCCTTAACCTTCAGTGGCCTGGCAGCGCGCACTCTGACCAACCTGGAGGAAATATTCCCTGCCTTCTAGGCCAAACTCCAGGAACGAATGCTGACCTCAAGTCCTGTTAAGCAGTTTGCTTCTTTGCCTCCACAGCCGGGTGCCTTGCGTTTCAGGAGTGGCAGCAGCATGGAAGTTGCTAGCGGTCCACAAGGGCGGCTTCAATGGCTGAAACGGAGGGCTCATCTCGAGTTAAGAAGGCATGACTAAGAATCAAACAAATGGAAATCTGAACCTCTGTATTACCCCGACCCTCTAGATGCACTAACCCTTGTCAACAGAGGGAACTGTAGTCACACCTCCATCACACTTCTGATGAAACCTTCAAGGTGAAACGCGTAACGTGTGATTTTGCCTTTCATTTGGACTGTTTTTTATTTATATTTTTAAATACATATCTTGTTCATTATAATAAAATTAATCCTTTTAAATATACATTTAATTTATTTTGAATTTATCATTTTGGATTTTTGGCTTCCTGATCTACATATATCCCAGGTGGGGATTATACCACCACAGCGCTTCTATACTAGAGCAGGTCCATTCTCTAGTCCATGTGAGTAAGATACTGTGACAAAATGCCTTTTGTCACTGGATTTTTATATGACCAACTGCCCTTTGCCCCTGGCTGTTGGAGGAGCCTGATTGCCAGCCTCCTCCCTCATGACTATGGCCCTGGGGTGTATTGCCATTTAAAAAGACTATTTGGGGTTTATTGGCTTCTAAAAGACTGTTTCTGCCCATTTGAATCCATGAGAAGATGTGTCTTTTCCCCTCCCCATTTCCTGTCTATTGTTCCAGCAGGGTGTTGTCCCAGGCACACTGCCAGACCAGTTGGAACGTGCTGTTTTGCCCCTCCTTGGTCTCTCATCAGCTCTTACAATGTTTTAACCCCATGGAGATTTGACTGTATTTGTGGTATCTGAGTGCTGTTCAGATATAGTGAGCTCTCAGATCCAAGCTATCTGGGGATAGGTTGAATGTGGGGGTTCTGTTAAGTATAATAGGAATTATGTATTTTTATGTGTTTCTACTGTTGTTGTGAATAGAACTATTTTCTGTATGCTGGAGGTAATTGGCTTACCACACCCAAGCCATGCTTGCAGACGGTCACAAAGGGACTACCAACTAACTTTTGACCCACTGGACCAATTTGTATGATTGTGACGTATGTTTGTATTTGGAGTATGCTGATTCTGAAAATGTAAGTTTTATGTGAATGTAATGTATACTTTTAGAGTTATGAATATTGTGTAAAACTGTGTATTTTCCTGCCTGTGATAATTACATTAGACCATTGTGTTCAGTAATTATATCACAGGCAGAGGGAAGGATTTTCTGTGGGAGTGTCTGAGTGTATTGTACGTATTGATTGGTTGTTCTGCAAAACCCTGTGGGCAGTACTATGTTGGTAGAATGTGAATAAAAGAGGCTGTATGTGCCAGTACAGTCAGTTCTACTTCACCCTAAATTTGGAGTGCCGTCTCTTATTGGGGGAATCTGCTACAAGGGATTGCTATGCTCTGCATACTTTCTTGCTATATTCACTGCTAAGCTCTTGTAAGAGCTTGTTCCTGTCTTGCTCTCTGAAGGAGTCTACAGTGGTTATGGTGTTGGCTGGAGTGCTTGGAGCCCTGAGGAAGCTCTAGGAGCATCCTTCAACGGAGGTACCCAGTCGGGGTGCCAGGTGATCCGTTACAGATACTTATTCTTCTGCATACGCATAGTCACTTTGATATACATATTGCACTACTTGATATTCCTATTCTTCTCTCCACATATCCGATATACTGGCAAATCCACCATCATTACAGCTGAATGTATATCCTGTGACGGGGATTGTACCGTCTACGCCTAACACAGCAGAGCTCTTTATAGCTCTATAAATTGTGAGTGAGCTCTCCTTACAGCACTTTATTTTATTTTGCTAAGGACATATTGCACTATTATTGTCTTTTTCCCCTTCTCTTTGAGATATCATACACTGTATAACAGACAATGCCCCTAAAGACATAAAAAGTATGTATATATGATTTATATGTGACTTCACTTATGGACTTTATTATATTTTAATTATTTTTGGTATTTGTCTTCTGTCTTTATTCCTACAAGGTTTTAGGGAATCCATGTAAGATTGACTGCTGCCTTCAAGTATATAGTGATCACCTAATTTTTGTGTTTTTTTAAGAGGGAGCTATAGTGCCAGAAATACAGCTTTGTATTCCTGCCACTATAACATCCCTTTAATTTCCTTTACTTAACAAGGTATAAGACTCCCTTAGTTCTCTTTTTGTTCTAGGCGCAATAGCGCATTTTGTTGGACAATTTACTAATCACTTGAGAAGTGATAGATTGCAGCCCATATATTAAACCTAAACCGATACAATGTGTTCTTACAAGAAAAAAAATAATATTCAACTTCAGCCAGTGTTTATGGATGCTGCAATAAATAAATTTATATCGAACATTCCCCGAACAAATGTTATACATTAGCTGAGCACACCTGGAGACGTGTTGCCATCTCTCCGTAATGAATTATGAAGCAATGAATGATTTACATTTTGTTGGATACTATACTCCATCTGGATGCCTTTCAGATCACTAACCCAAGTTCTCATTTTCTCGCCTGTTCGGAAAATCCTCGTTCCTGTTTGTGTGTATATAATTATGCTCAGTGCCTCCTTTCTGCAGGCGCTGCTTTTGTTTGTAATGCTATGTGATCTTTCTTCTCGCCTGATCCAGTAGAGATTCTGGATAGAATTTTGGCCAGATACCATACGGAGTTAGGTTAGAACTTGTTACAAGAAATTAACCTTCCCGCCAAATGATCCTGGCCTGCTCTAGCCTCTTTCATCTCATTTAAGCCATAGCATAATTTGTTTAGTTGCGATGATCAGCTGGAGGTTAATTCAATTGGACGTCTCTTGTGCAGTAATGTTAGACATTGCTAAGTGTCACTTTAAATGCTTGGTTCCAAATTACAGTTCATAAAAGAGACTTCATCACTTGCCTGTAACTCCATATGGAATGATAACCCGATCTCAGTAAGCTTCTGATGGAGAGAGATTTATCTAGGCAATTAGATCAAGTGACCTTTTTCTCTTTTAATTTTGAACAGGGTTCTTGATTGCAGCAAGATAAACACAGAATATTAACCGTTTCCAAACTAAAGAGTACTAAGTCATCTGTGATGAATTAATCACACTCCGAGTAGTCATTATATGATGATGTAACACGGCACCTGTTAGCAGTGAAACTAGAATCTAATTTCCACTTTCATTTTATTAATTCATTTTTTTTATTTAAGCAACTTGAATGTAATAATAAATCAATTGTAGGAAAAAAGCTTGAGATGTATTAAATGGATAAATACTAATTAATGGGACACAGATGTCTGCTATTTATCGTCACCATGTGTAAAACAAATGTAGTACTTACGGTATCTATAAATACTATATATAAGCAGTAGAAGTGTCAGAGTGTGACCACTAGGTAGAACCCTCCCTAGAAAAATTGTCCACCAATCAACCTCTAATTCTGGTCTGTGAGGTCTGATCCTATTCCATAATCCTCTGTTTTGACAAAGTGGGTTATTTTTGAAGGAATAAAAAGCCAAATTTTTTAAGCATAGACACATTAGTCTTCTCTAATTGGATTTCTGAGGGTACCCATTGGCGGTGGGTTGTCAGATCCTGTACATACTAAAAGACAGACCTGCACATTTTTATGTATTCTATGTTGTCATTGGGTAACAGCATCAAGGGGTGAAGTCAGATAGCTTTAAATTGGTTGTTGTCTTACAAATACATGCATCCATATGCTTATGGTGTCTATGAACGGGGCATGACCTCTCATTGGGTTGAACACATGGGGTTAAATGGGCAAAGCTCAACAATTAGGAGGGCAGAATTAAATTCCAGATGTAGAGCCAAGTGCCCCACCAACTTAACATCAACGACCACCACTGAGTTTAAAGGAGAAGTAGTTTATTCCTGTAAGGAGTCCTCTACCTTGCTAGTCCACCAATCACATGACACCCCGATCTGGCAGATCGGCATTTTTCAGAGCCCTACTGCTTTCTCCAGTGTCTGTAACGCCGTGGTTATAACAATAAAGCCCACAGTATTTAAAAACAGCAGTTTATCAAGTCCAATACTGTGTTTATACTATTTTGAATTACTGTTACTGACCCGGCTCTCCACTTGCCCATTCTGTTTTCTGGTAGCCCTGAGCTGACTTTGTCTTTCCCTTTTATCTGATTTCTGGTGTCCCTTGATTCTACCTAGTCTTGATGTTTCTGTCTTCCTGTTTTACGTGAAGCCCAGCCACCTTTTATGGACCGGTATCACGCCTAAATACTGAGGCTATACTCTGCATAGTTAAGGTTATATATACTGTACTTATCAGTGACAATCTCCCAACCACAGATTCATTCAACTTATAAAGCTAGAGTGGGTGGATTATAGATGTGTGATTGGTTATAAACCACTCTTCTATGCAATGACGCAAAGTTGTTAAGGTGTTAAGAGTAACCCTTTAAATTTACTTGAAAGAACATTGTGTAACATTCACAGAGGAACATATAAAAAAGTCAGTACATTATAACAGAATAAGAATTTTGAAAAAAATGTCTTGAGCATTGTTACTGCAATTTGAGCAAGGTCCTAACCTGAAATAGAAAAATGCCTTATTTTCAAAGTTTATCCAATATCTGGAAATATTAACACACATGTTTGTATAGGAATGAAACTTTCCACATATGGTATGTGCATTGTAAATTGTCTCAATTTCTCAATGAATAAAGAAAATAAACACTTACTTACGCTAACCCTAACCTAAAATATCATGTAATATAAAAGATACAAAACAGTGAAGAGGAACTAATGATGAACTCTGCAGACAATAATTGTTAGAAATGTCTACAGAACCCTCAAATGGCATTATTTCTCCCCAAACACGTGCTTTGCCATGATGTATCTTTTATAGTGCATGATATTTGTAGTTTAGTAGTAGTGCAGGAATTAATGTTGTTATGCTATGGAGTTGCTACACGAGGGTGAGGGGGTAATTTCCTCCTAGGTTGTTTATTGCCCCCCCTACGTGCCCCCCGCCTCTCTACCTACTCTAAACGGGGCAGAATAGATGCCTGACTACCCACAATACAGGTGCCTATTTTGCCAAAATGTATTTGTGTCTGGACTGAAGGGGTGTAAGGGCAGCGAGGGAAGCCTTTACTTACTATGCTGTTTCTGCACAACTTCCTCCCACATCATGTGCCAACAACCGGGATATGACATCATCTTGGCATCGGCATCACTAGAGGGTGCTGTGGGAGCTGTGAAAGAAGACCACAGTGATCTTACCAGCCCCACTGGCCACCAGGGAGAGGATCCACTCCAGTGCTCGCAGAGCAAGTTAGGGAGGCTGGTTGGACTTCTTAATGAATAAACAAAATTGTGTGTGTGTGTATAAATGATTTTGTGTGTATATCATGGATTATGTGGGTCTGTGATTGTGTGTGTGTCTATGATTGTGTGTATGTCTGTGTTTGTGTGTTTATGTCTGTTATTGTGTCTTAATAAATTAAAAATTGTGTGTGCATAAATGATTATGTGTGTTTGTCCGTGATTAAGTGGATTGTTGATTGTGTGTTTGTCTGTGGTTATGTTTGTGTGTATGTCAGTGATTGTGTGAATGTGTGTATGTCTGTGGTTCTGTGTGTATGTCTTTGACTGTATGTGTGTGTCTGTGATTGTATGTGCGTGTCTGTGATTGTGTGTGTGGGTCTGTGATTGTGTGTATGTCTGTGGGTATGTCTGTGTATGTGTGTGTATATATATATATATGTGTGTGTGTATGTGTTTAGTAAATAGCTCCCTTGTTTGGTATCCTTAAATATGGTATTCCCACATGAGGATATCAAAAAAGGAAGTTATCTACTAAACTGAAAGATCAAAATAAAAGAGGGCTTTTCTTAAATTTGTTTTCCTTATTTGGGATTACCACATGTAAGGTTACCAAACTAGGGCGCTATTTAGTAGATAGCTCCCTTATTTTTTGTCCTTAAGTATGGCAATACCACAAAAGGATTAGAAATAATCTAATCGAACTATCTACTAAGCAGCTGATCAAAATGCAGGATTTACATACGTTCGTATCCCAATTTTGCCTTTGATTACTAGGAATCACAGTCCAGAGCAGCAGCTACTCGGAAGTACTATCCTGGTCTGGACACATTCACGCACAAAGACACAATGTCCCCCCAGGATTGGAGAATAGATACCTGGATTGCTTATCACTGTATCCTTTACTATGTATCCTAGCTGACTTTTTTCCCGATAAACAACTCGGCTTCTTAAAGAAATGAATCTCCCTGGCAGCAGTTTCACTGTTGCTTTTAAGAGCGTGTGTTATGTAATTGCAATAAAGATACTCCAATTATAGAGCTGTTTTTTTTTTTTATATTTAGTTTGTAATCGTTAGCTGCCCCTGGCTGTTTTCAGTGACGAAAGCTTTGAGATAAAACTGTGTGGTTTATACAGGGATTTTCCTTGTGATTAATGACAATACAAAGCATTAATATCTTCTCCCGTTCTCAGATTTGGGATTAAATCATGCCTCTGTCTGGGAGACCAGTCATTAACTCTCAGATAGGAGGCATGATTTAACAGATTTTGACATTGGAAATATTGCTACATAACAATTTGTGAGTACACTTTACAATACAAAGGGAAACACTCTTAGAGGATTGATGCGGCTGAAATATGTTTAGTCTATTAAAATACATTATTTTATACAATGATGAATGCTTTAATATGAGCATAGAAACTTTGCCGAGGTTTGTACCAGGTAAAGCAGTAGGGTAGTGACGCAGTTCAAAGTGAATTTCCAATATTAAGAAAAAAAAAATAGCTGAACTGAGAAAATTCTGGAAGTTAGCCAGTTTTGGTTCAAAACGTGAAATTCACTTTGAATTCACAACCATTCACACGTTAGTCAATAAATGCGTTCCTCCTACCATTCTAATATAAACAAAATTGCTTATACCATATCAGTTTGGTGGATAAGCAGACCTATGGCAAAAAAAGGATAATAAATAAGAAATTTCTTAATTGCTGTTAAACCAAAATGTACTATTTTATTTTTTTGTATATTTGTCCTGACCAGATTCCTTTGGTTGAGCCAGGACGGTATTTAATGCGGGGCAAATGTGGCAGCTGCCCTGGGCCCATTAACTCAAAACTCCTGAAGGGGCCCAAAGCCGCTGCTCCATTTGTCTTTTACTCTCAACAATTTATTTTAGAAATACTAATCCTAAAATAAATTGTTGTGGGCCCTCAAATTTAGGGCCACCCGGTGGGTATTTGTCAACAGTGTGTATGTGTGTGTGTCAGTACGCCTGTCAGTGTATGTGTCTGTGTTTATGTCAGTATGTGTGTCTGTGTATGTGTCAGTATGTCTGTCAGTGCATGTGTCTATGCGTGTAAGTATGTCTGTCAGTATTTGTGTCTGTGTATCTTTATGTCGTCATTGTGTGTATCTGTACATTGTCAGTGTGTGTATCTTTGTATTTGTATGTTTTCAATATGTGTATCTGTATGTTGTCAGTATGTGTATGTGTGTATCTGCGTTTGTATGTGTCAGTGTTTGTATCTGTGTCTGTGTATCTGCATGTGTGTCAGTGTGTGTATCAGTGTGTCTATGTATCTGCAGGCGTGTCATTGTTTGTAACTGTGAGTCTGTATCGTGTCAGTATGTTTTTGATCAGTTTAACTTCCTACCTTTGGTTCACTGCCTGCCTCCACTTGTACTGTTAGCTCCTAAGTAGGAATTTCAGTTAACTCTCCTGCAATGCAGGGCTTAGCTCCTTGGCCAAGGAATATCACCTGATTGCTCTTAGCCAGATGTACTGGTTATGGTGCTTGGAACATTCCTTTAAACTGTTCATAAATGGTTTAACACTTTAAGATAGGATGGCTCTCAGGACCTTCAGGGACCATTATACCTTCATTGAGATGAAGTGGCTATAGTACTCAAAATATTCCTTTAAATAAGATGAGTTACTCTCAAAGACTTTTAAGCAGAAAACTTTGCAGCACGCATATTTTTTCTTCCATGCTAAAAATTTAAAATGACTCTCCAGGCACCAACATAACATTTATGGATTTTATAGCTTTTGGTATAAAAAATAGATATGCTCAATTTTGTAAAGTTTTAGCAAAACACGTTTTGCATCTTTCTGTATCTAAGTTCTGTCTCTTCTATCTTATTACAATACACCTGTGGCGGACCACCTGCCATCCTGACTGGGTACCTCCGCCAATCACGCTTCCTAGTAGTTGCCGAGTACCATAAGCACCGCACCGGACACCATAAGCACTGTAGCCCCCCTTAGCTGCCGCAGCTTGGCTGGGGTCTTGCGTCCCCTCCCACCCTGGACCAACACCTGGATCCAGCTCCCAGTGGGAAGACCTCTCCTCCAAGAGAGTATAGCAGGTATTGCAGTGATTATAGCAGTATAGCTGTTCCCCCCCCACACATAAGCCGAGGCTTAATGCTGGGAGTAATCTGTGTATTCCAGCCAAATGGCCCACTTATATACAGAATCTGAGCACAGTGACACGCCCTCAAACACACCCTTAAACACACCCACAATGTGCCATAAAATACACTGTGTCACTGTGAAAAGTACAAAATATTAAAAACACATAAAAATACACATTTCCCACATAGGAACCCCCACAGTCTATATATCCCCGGATAGCCTGGATCTGAGCGTCCAACATATCCAAAAAGCGCTCATATCCCATGAAAACAGCTGAATCGCCACTGGGGTGAAGTTCTGACTGGCCGCACACATGGTTGTGCACAGTTCCATGAATTCAGGGGTTACGACCGGTCCCATTCGGGAGTTCCATGCGACCAAAATACCAAACATAACCCATAAGTATAACGTGGAACTAGTTCCCCTCATTTAGATGAACGATTCCACTGAACAGCGCTCTTCCAGGATGTAAAGTACCGAACACAGGAGGGATGGAAGTTCAGCGGTGTTCGCGAGGTCGAGTGTCCGATTTTAGTTCCATGCACTTGATGACCAAACACCGCTGCCTGCGTTCGCGGGAACAAGATGGCCGCCACCACGTGTTCGGGCATACGAACGGTGGCCACCCAGATGAACACTTAAAACACGGCTGGCAGAATCGTTACAAGTGTCAATAATGTTTAACAAGCTCCAAGGTGGTCTTTAGGTCGTGGATCTGTTCCGTTCCCGAACAGCACAGGGAATTCAAATGAACTTTTAAAATGTCTTTTGAAGTTCTTTTTGCAGGGCCCATAGTCCTGGGCCAAGAGACTGGCAAGCAGGCTACTCCAGGTACCCATGGCAAGGTTCGCCACAACACCCATCTCCCTACTTTGTGGACTTCTTATACAGCTCCTTCTCTGCTGAAACACAATATTCAGTATCACAGTTTTACAAGGAATAAGCTTTTATAGGTAGGAGAACTTGAAATCTGCTAATCAGAACTTTCTTCTCCACTTCAACACCTTGCAATGCTATGGTAAAAAGGTCCAACAGTTCTAAGTCCATAGACCGTAATGAAAGGCTCCTGATTGGCCAAACTAATTTCTGAACTGGGTAATGTTTAAGGCCAATGATTAAATGTGTGGGGTTATTTAGAAATCAGTATTTTTTTTGTTTATTTTTTTAGCATTCAGACTGGTGATTGATAATGATTTTTTAACATGTTAACGATATATAGCCCATTAAAGGAAGAATAGGTCAATTGAGTGCCCATGTTGCCAAAACGAATTTCTAGAATAACCTGACATCTACATATACATTTACTGGTTAACAAAACGGACTTATGTAAAACTGTTTTTTTGTATATTTAAATTGTGCCTTTTACAATTTAATTCCCATTTCAGTTGAATTGGTATGTTTATAACTTTAATGTTTATGCTTCGCGGAAGAAAATAAAAATACAATGCAAACAAATCATCTCTCGTTCCAGCAACTAATTTCAAACTCTTGGGTTTAAGGAATATAATGAAGTAGAAATTATAGCAGGTGCTTTTATATTATATATATTTTTTGTTTTTACAGTGAGAGTTTGCAATGGTATTTTATGGTGGATCAAAGAGCAGTAACAGATACTATTTTGCAAAAATCAATGGTAGATGCATGAAATAGCATTCCTGTGCAGATTAAAACATATGTGGACACATCACTATAGACACCAAAGCAACTTTAGCTTAATGAAGCAGTTTTGGTGAATAGATCATGCCCCTACAGTCTCATTGCCCAATTCTCTGCCATTTAGAAGTTAATACAGTCCTAGTCACCCCTCCCTGCATGTAACTAGCACAGCCTTTCGGAACACTTTCTGTAAAGTGAAATTTAGTATTGACACTTTCTTTATTGCAAATTCTGTTTATTTTAGAATTTCTTTTCTCCTGCATTGTTAATAACTTGCTAGACCTCGCAGCAGACCCCTGTGTGTAATTAAAGTTCAATTCACAGAGCATGATAAAAAAAACTTCCAAAGCAGCAAGTTAACTTTTGATTGAAATTTTGAATGAAACCATTTTTTTCATGCAGGATGTGTGAGTCGTAGCCAGGGGAGGTGTGGTTAGGGCTGCATAAACATAAACAAAGTGATTTAATTCCTAAGTGGAAGAGAATTGAGCAGTGAGACTTCAGAGGTACCTGCTATGCTCAAAAACTGCTTCCTTGAGCTTAAATTGTTTTGGTGAGGACTATAGTGTCCTTCTAACAACCAATACGTGTTATCTTTATGTAGTTAGGACTTGTTTACAACCTTTGCATGGATATAGTATTCTTGAAAAAGCTTTGCAAATGTGTAGCGGAGCTCCCTGTACCCCTGACTGGGAACCTCCGCCAAGGACCGCTTTCTAGCTGGAACAGGGGACAAACCGCAGCACTTCTGCCCACAGTCGCCGTGGCTTGAATGGGGCCCTGGAACCGCTCCCTCCTGGAGCTGAATGGGGAACTTGCTCTAGCAACCCCCAATGCACTGGACAACACTCAGTCCTGGGAGCTCTAGTCGTGGAACCGCTCCGTCCTGGAGCCGAATGGTGAATTCTCTCTAGACACCCCCAGGCACTGGACAACACTCAGTCCTGGGAGCTCTAGTCCTTACAAGGACTTTTCTTTGAATCCTCCACACTGGAACAGTGATTGAAGAGTATCCATTTCCCCACCCAGTAACCAGACGACACATAGTTCTGGGAGTACAAGCTGGAATACTTTAATGGCAGCCACAACTTATTAGTACCAGTGCTTTCGTGGCTAAGTCCCCTGAAGTCTATTTGCGGTTTTGGTCCAAGCGAACGGCTGCCAGGAAGCTAGCGTTCGGTTCTATGCGCACGAATGGAAAGTGCCGAACCAGGGGAACCAGGGGGAATAAAATATGAGTATTTACAGTCGCTGACCTGGCCCATAACCGGTGGGCAGGAGGCTGGCAAGTAGTCTCCTCCAGGAGCTTGTGGCAAACTCACTAGGAAAAGGGAGTTTGTCACAAAATGATTTAATATTTTTGGATAAACTTCTAAAACTATCTGTTTAATATATTAAAATATCAAAAATATTTAATATATAGCAATTTATATTACTATATCATAAAATATCAACATATTAAAATATTATTCAAAATATAAAATTGTTTTTAAAATTTATTGAAAAATATTAAATCATTTGAAAGGCTTATCAAAAAATATTACATTGTGGAGCTTGTTGGTAAATAGCTGCCATAAGATGTTGATAGTAACAACAATCGGTAGCTAGTAGCGGCTACTGATTATTATCACCTGGTTTCCAACCGTACCGCTATTTTTTTACCGACTGACCACCAATAATATCTGATCACCAAGAATCTGATCACTCTCAGATTAGTCACTTGCTGGTAAAGCACAGAAACGCACATTGTGTAAGTTGTCGCCATCGCAACCACAACTTGCCAGTAAAAATGCTCATCCTGAGCATGCGCACCTCCCTCTGTGATTGGTCTTAGCTGAAGGTTCTGATAGTGTATACCAGGGGTACCCAAAGGTTAGATCCCCAGATGTTGTAGAACTACATCTACCATGTTGCTTTGTATGCCTTTAGAACGACTAAGCATCATAGCAGCTATAAATCTGAAACATTTGTGGATCTATCTTTTAGGCACCCCTGGAGAATACAATGTAGAAAACTGTTTTATCAAGTTTTGAAAATGTTTACTTTTAAAATAGTAATTCACTAATTGCCATATTCATCCTTTAACCTTACAAAAATGATTGAAATCTTAGATGTATTAGGAATTCTCACTATCAAGACTAATAAATTAATCTATTTGAGGCATGTATTTATGTTCCTCTAGAAGTGCAGAAATTATGTAAAACCGTTGAAATAGTTTTTTTTCACATTTGTAAAGAAAATTTTACTCACACCTAATATTGTGTTAAACAGGACACTTAAAAAAGTGCTATCTGTCCTTTAAAAAGAAATAGTGTATAATATATATGGGTGCATTTAAGGAGGAATTAGGAAATCACATCTGACAAAACACAAACAGACAACATATCGAAAAAGTGCCAAAACAGCATTTTTAATCATAAATTCAGAATCTCAGGAAAACCAGAGTCTCTAAGGGGTTAAGAAATGATTAGGACTTAGGAACTAGATCTCAATGAATCTTTTTGCAGTTTCACGATAGAAAGTTAAAGTTATAGGCAGCTTCCTTTATTAAATTTGAAGTCTAATATCAGTAACAATGATTGTGTTTCCAATAAAAAAGCCCATCTTCATACCTTTCAGGGAAAGGGAACATGCCAATAGGACTGTCACAGTAACAAAGGATTTAACCAACTCTGGTCCCCTGGGGAGATAATTTAGTTGGTTACTTGTCCACGTAGCAAAGCTCGTAAATTAAATGTGTTTGTTTTCATAAGTCTTGTGTCCAGTATGGATCTCAAGTGTAATGCATCCAACTTTCTGTAATAGAGTACACAAAACGAATTACTACATGTTTCTAGAAATTGGATAATTTTATAAAACATTAAAAGAAAAATGGAACACTTTTTTTCTGTCTTCTTAAATTAACGATCACATTATTTGAAGGGAAACTAATTTCTTAGGATTGTTTATATTCTGCTTACACAAACTTATATGTAACAAATACGTATTTTAAGGTTGGAAAATTAAATTAAATATAGAAATTCAGAACTTTTTATCCTACGACTGGGTGCCTCGATCTTAGCTCCCGTCAATCATCGCTATAAGCTCTGTCCTTTGAACCTTGCAGACAGCATGGAGAAAGCTCACAGAGGAGAAATGAAACAATGTTTATATTTCTTCTCCTCAACTGTGATGCTTGACCTTGCAGTGCCTTGTCTGATTGGTATGGAAATGAGATAACAGAGCCTTGTAGGTAGTCTTGAATCCAGGAGATGGTCAGTGGATATGTGGAGAGAAAAGAACCTACAGAAAACAATATAGTGTAGTATCTTCTGATAGTTGGTGAAAGGAGTATTACAACATACTTACAATTTTCAGGAGCTAAAGATCAGCAGCAGATGGTAGCGCCTGGGCGGTACAATCCCCGCTTATGGATCTGATCGCAGTAGAAATTATGCGTAGCTCCAAGCAGGAAAGCAGTGGGTCACCTTTGTCGATTTGCATGTGAAAAATAAAACAGAAAATAGTACTCACTGGCTGTGACAGACCCATCTGTCTGGATTATAACTGCTTTGTTCGTCTGTTTTGCCGTTTTCATGAATTTCCCCGTTCGTATGCTTTTTTTTAAGGGAATGTCGGTTTTGTCGAACGGAACTACCGAACGGACGGCCACCCAGAAGAGAAGTGTGCTGCTGGTTAACCTATTGATCCCAATTAGAACGTTGCGGTTAACCACAGACACTTCTCAATTAAAAACCGAATGCTGGGTGGTCGTCGTTCGTATGTCGACCACGAGGCGGCGGCCATTTTGTCCATGCGAATGACCAGCGGTGTTCAACGATTATTTCATGGATCGGAAAACGGACACTTTTTCAGCCGAACACCGCTGAAGCCGTCGACCTCCCCTTCTCAATCGACAAAAGCATGCGAATGACAGCCGTTCGGGAGATTCAACCACACGAATGGACTTAACCCAGATAGCCGTCCCATGGAGTCAATCGCATACCGAAGAACTGAAAGAGACTTTGACTCCATGGCGATTGAACTGTGCGAATGGGATCTGAGCGCTATTCTCCAATAATGTGCCCTCAGATCCAGGCTATCTGGGGATATGCAAGACTGATGTAAAATGTTCAGCAGTTATTAAGTTATGGATTTTTGTGTGTTTTTGTAACTTGTATCTAAAATGGCGATTGCCTCTGCTCGGGGAGATAATTGAATTACTTCCCAATTATCCCCCGAGCAGAGGGGAGGGAACTGTACTGCATGCTGGGAATATTGTGGGGATGTATGTCCAGAATGTCCCCATGTCCCTCTGTGATTTCAGTCTCCCATTTGGTCCCCTAGGGGAGTGTCCACCAAGTGGGAGACCTGCATAAATACCGGGCAGGTAGCCCACAGTAAACCAGTTCGTGTTTTACCCTCAAAGCGGAGCTTGGTCTCGTTATTGGGGGGATTTGGATACCAGCGGCGAGAGACTGCTTATTTGGATTATTTGCCGCTTGGGAGAGATTGTCGTTCGGTTACTGATTGCCGTTCGTGGATTTGCGGCTCGTGAAGGGAATTCACCGTACAGGTACCGTTCGGGAGTTTGGAGTGTTCCCTGGCTAGCAGTTCGCATGGTTTTACTATACCCGCTACCCGACCCCATTATTGCGAACGGGGAATACTCGCTAAACGGCGGTTTGTACATTTCAGTGCTGTAGGCACCGTAACAACTGGTGGCAAGCGATGGGATGATCCCCAACGCCCAAAGAGACCATTACAACCAGGACTAAATGGAATTACAATACCAAAACCTGAGGAGGGCTACCCTAAAGGATTTATTGGAGCAAAGAGGGGGACAAGCCAGTAACCTCAGGAAGAGGGATATTATTACGTTATTGCTGGAAATGGATGGAGTACCAGCGGCAGAGGGAACCAATGGACCCAGCGCAGCTGACAGAACCCCCGAGGAGGCAAGCTTTGACCGGGCGGTAAGAATCAGGCTGGCACATTATGGTCCCAACCCGACTACAGAGACCATTGACCGGGTCATGGCAGCTGTGGAGGCCAACCTGCTTCGCCAAAGCGGTGCTGCAGCAGCCCCAGTCACAGCAAACCCGGGGGATAGGAAAAAGGTACCATTCACTGCGTTTAAAGCCTTCAGTGAAACAGAAGGAGAGATTGATGGGTACCTTGCTGATTTTGAGCGGCAATGTGCCCTGCACAAGGTACCCCTGGAAGACTGGGTCACTATATTGTCCGGCAAGTTATCCGGCCGGGCCAGCGAGGCATTTCGGGCCATTCCTGATGAGGAGATTGGGGATTATGTGGCCGTCAGGGAAGCTTTACTCTCCCGGTATGCCGTTACACCTGAGGCATACCGGAGGAGGTTCCGAGACACCGTCAAGACCTCTGGGGACTCATACGTGGAATGGGCATGTAAGGTGCATCGCACAGCCGCCCACTGGATGGCGGGGTGCCAGGCTGTGTCCGGAGAAGAGGTGCTGCAGATGTTTCTTTTGGAACATTGTTTTGATAAATTGCCAGCAGGGGTCAGAGAGTGGGTAAGGGACCGTAAACCCTCCACTCTGCACGAAGCAGCTCGCCTGGCAGATGAATATACTGACGCCCGCAAACTGGACAGTCTCATCAGCAAGGCTCCCGCCAGAGTGGAATACAGGCCAACAGCACCAACAGCAGCCAACCTATACCAGCCTCCCATGAATCGCCCATCGGCACCTCCTCCATCTGCCCCGTACCAACAGCCACCTCGGTTCAACTCACGGGAGTATGCCCAACCCATTCGGTGCTACCTGTGCAAGCAACTAGGGCACAAGCGACCCGAGTGCCCGATGAACAGCGCCAACCAGAACCAGTCCTGGAGGAGACCAGCCGGCGGCAATCCACGACCCCCCATCCCAGCCGCTCACTGTGTAGAGGAAGAGGAGTGCTGGGGCATCCTGCATGAGGCAGACCCCGTTCAGGCTGCCCACCGGGATAACAGGCAGCACCACCGACAATGTGTAAAAGTCAATGGGAAGGAGGTCAGTGGTCTACGGGATACCGGGGCAACCATGACTTTGCTCCAGAAACACCTGGTATCCGAAGCCCAACATACAGGGGACACGGTCGCCGTACGAGTAGCTGGAGGTGCCGTGTTCCGTCTGCCCGTTGCCCGGGTACATTTGGATTGGGGAGTGGGCGCTAGACATGTGAATGTGGGGGTCATGAAGGACTTACCAGCGGATGTTCTCCTTGGCAATGACTTGGCGCCCCTTGTTTCCGCCTTCGCTCCCATGGGTCCTGCTGAAGTGGACGCTGTCACGACCCGTGCCCAGACCCGTGCCGCCGAGACCGGCCCACCTGCTGTTGAGACCCAGGTAAGACTCTCTACCCCGACTTGTACCTTAGACCAGGCCCCTTTAGGCTGGGATACCCCAGAGATATACGGGAAGGAAACCAGGGAAGACCCGACGCTAGCAAAGTACAGGGCCAGGGCCGATTCTGGGGGAGAAGGAGTAGATGGGGAGCACTACGAGTGGGTGGGGGATAGACTCTACAGGATCCCGAAACCGCCCCAGAAGCCGAATACCCCTCCGCAGAATCGACAGCTAGTGGTGCCCGCAAAATACCGGCAGGAGATTCTGCGGATTGGGCATGATGTGCCATTAGCCGGCCATCTAGGTTCCCGCCGCACAGCTCATAGGATCACACAAAATTTCTTCTGGCCCAATTTTAACCGGGATGTGCGGGTTTATTGTAGCACGTGTGACACCTGTCAACGGGTAGGTAAGCGGGGGGATCACCCAAAAGCTAGGCTTCAGTCGATGCCCATCATTGGAGAACCCTTTTCCCGCATAGCCGTTGACATTGTGGGTCCACTGGCCAGGGCTAGTCCATCCGGTAAGAAGTATATTCTCACCGTGGTGGACTATGCCACATGTTACCCAGAGGCAGTAGCGCTGTCTAATATAGAGGCAGAGACGGTTGCTGATGCCCTGGTTAAAATCTTCACTAGGGTCGGGTTCCCTCAGGAGATTCTCTCCGATCAGGGAACCCAGTTCACCGCTGTGCTTACCCAGCAGCTGTGGAAGGTGTGCGGTATTAAACCTCTGCTTAGCTCACCTTATCACCCACAGACTAACGGTCTCTGCGAGCGATTTAATGGCACCCTCAAACAGATGTTGAGGACCTTTACTGACACTTGCAGAGACTGGGAGCGATTCCTGCCTCATCTGCTATTTGCATACAGAGAGGTGCCTCAGGAATCTACTGGGTTCTCCCCCTTTGAGTTACTCTATGGGAGAAGGGTCCGTGGACCCCTAGATCTCATTAGAGGACACTGGGAGGGGGAGACAGAGCAAGAAGGGACCCCCATAGTACCATATGTCCTGGAACTCCGGGACCGCATGGAGAAACTGTCCCTAATGGTAAGGGAGAATCTCCAGGCGGCCCAGGGGAGACAGAAACGGTGGTACGATCGGGGTGCCCGACAGCGGATCTTCCAGGTTGGGCAGAAGGTTCTGGTACTCAAGCCTGTGAAGACGAACAAGATGCAAGCATCCTGGCAGGGCCCGTATAAAGTGTTAGCTCAGGTATGCGATACTACCTACCTTATAGCCAGCTGTACAGATGAAAGGATTCAGCGATCCTTCCATGTGAACATGCTGAAGGAGTATCAGGAACGACCGGAGGATGTTGCGGCAGTATGTGCCCCAGCAACTGACGACCCCGAGAACTTACCGTTACCTGACTTGCTAGAGAGGGACCCCCAGACAGACCTTACTAGTCTTGTACAGCTAGGGGACCGACTAAACCCGGCAGAGAAGGTACAGGCAAGACAATTACTGTGGGAGAAGCAGGCCACGTTCTCCCAAGAACCCGGGTACACTACCCTAGCTGTACACAAGGTCGAGACACCCGGACAGAACCCCCTACGGCAACCCCCATACCGTATCCCTGAAGCAGTCCGAGAAGGAATGCGGAAGGAGATACAGGAAATGACCAGGCTGGGGGTTATCGAACATTCGGACAGTCCTTGGGCCTCGCCTGTAGTTCTGGTGCCTAAGAAAGATGGGACCACCCGGTTCTGTGTGGACTACAGGCGGCTCAACGAGCGGACCACCACTGACGCCTACCCTATGCCCCGGGTAGACGAGTTATTAGACCGTATTGCCAGGGGGCGCTATCTGACCACCATAGACCTGTGCAAAGGCTATTGGCAGATCCCCCTGGCCGAGGATGCTATCCCTAAGTCGGCATTCGTCACCCCATTTGGCCTATACCAGTTTAAGGTTATGCCATTTGGGATGAAGAATGCTCCGGCTACTTTCCAGCGTATGGTGGATAGGCTCCTCGATGGCTTCCAGGACTTTGCATGTGCATACCTGGATGACATTGCGGTCTACAGTGAGTCCTGGGAAGACCATTTAGTACACGTGGGGGTGGTGCTGGACAAGATTCGGGCCGCAGGCCTGACCTTGAAGCCCGACAAGTGCCATCTAGGCATGGCAGAAGTACAGTACTTGGGTCACAGGGTAGGCTGTGGGAGCCAGAGACCGGAGCCAGCCAAGGTAGAGGCTGTAGCTAACTGGCCCACACCTATCACCAAGACCCAAGTGCTAGCTTTCCTGGGGACGGCAGGGTATTACCGACGTTTTGTCCCCGACTACAGTACGGTTGCCAAGCCCTTGACTGACCTGACTAAGAAGCATTTGCCTAAGCAGGTCCTGTGGTCTCCAGCTTGTGAAGCCGCGTTTCAGGCACTGAAGCAAGCTCTTGTTAATGCTCCTGTCCTGGCTGCCCCAGTCCCTAACAAACGTTTTCTTGTCATACAGATGCTTCCATGTATGGACTGGGGGCTGTGCTAAGCCAGGTCGGGGAAGATGGAGGAGAGCACCCTGTCGCATACTTAAGCAGAAAGTTACTACCCCGGGAAGTAAGTTATGCGGCAGTGGAGAAAGAATGTTTAGCCCTGGTCTGGGCACTGAAGAAACTGAGCCCTTATCTGTATGGACAAGAATTTTCCCTTATTACGGACCATAACCCCCTCGTCTGGCTTAACCGGGTCTCAGGAGACAATGGCAGACTGCTGAGGTGGAGTTTGGCACTACAGCCATATAACTTCACCATCAGCTACCGACCCGGTAAGCAGAATGGGAATGCGGATGGATTATCTCGGCAAACAGACGTCCCTACTCCTCCTCAGTCCGGTCATCCCCAAGTTGACCCGCCAAAGGGTCAAGCCGGGTCTGCCGGAGTGTTCCACAAGGGGGGAGCCGTGTGACAGACCCATCTGTCTGGATTATAACTGCTTTGTTCGTCTGTTTTGCCGTTTTCATGAATTTCCCCGTTCGTATGCTTTGTTTAAGGGAATGTCGGTTTTGTCGAACGGAACTACCGAACGGACGGCCACCCAGAAGAGAAGTGTGCTGCTGGTTAACCTATTGATCCCAATTAGAGCGTTGCGGTTAACCACAGACACTTCTCAATTAAAAACCGAATGCCGGGTGGTCGTCGTTCGTATGTCGACCACGAGGCGGCGGCCATTTTGTCCATGCGAACGACCAGCGGTGTTCAACGATTATTTCATGGATCGGAAAACGGACACTTTTTCAGCCGAACACCGCTGAAGCCGTCGACCTCCCCTTCTCAATCGACAAAAGCATGCGAACGACAGCCGTTCGGGAGATTCAACCACACGAATGGACTTAACCCAGATAGCCGTCCCATGGAGTCAATCGCATACCGAAGAACTGAAAGAGACTTTGACTCCATGGCGATTGAACTGTGCGAATGGGATCTGAGCGCTATTCTCCAATAATGTGCCCTCAGATCCAGGCTATCTGGGGATATGCAAGACTGATGTAAAATGTTCAGCAGTTATTAAGTTATGGATTTT